CTACAATCTTGCTTTGTCTACGTCTATTTTCCTCCTCGCACGCGTCCGACAGAAGGAAAAAACAACAACGAAAAATCGGTGCTACGTCACTTTTGCTGGCGTTTATTGCGTGTGTAACTGCCGCCTTTATTAGCCCCCCACGCTGGCTCGCCACTTTTATGTCACTTTTTTGCGTCCACCAGCTACCCGCAAGAAGTCTCTCTCTCGTTAGCAGCCTTTTTTTTCTTTTATATCGCTTGGATATGTTTCGAGCGGACCACACCGTTATCCTTCAATTTTACGGCGCTTCGGTGGCTCGATATCCGCGTATCCACTCACGAATCCACACTGCGCGCACATACAGCAACACGGGGGGAGAGGGAGGCTTTCGCGCGAAGAGGCAACACTGCATTGCGCGTACGAGCAAAAGCAGACGCCCTCGATGACATACGTTTGCCTGTTGCACGACGGCTTCGCGATTTCCAGGCAAAGAGAGAAAACCTTGAAGAGACTTATTTCTCGTTCTTTTTTTCGGCCAGCGCGCACTCCTTTGGTAACTAACTTTGAAAACTTATTCCCAGAGCCGAATAAACTTTTCTTCTAGTCCCGAGTCTTTACTTCCTTTCGCTTCGTGTTTAACTTTTAAACGTGCCACCCTCTAACTCTCAGTCAGCGATCCGCGGAGGTGAAAAAAGAAGAGAAGTTAAGGAGCAGAGGAGAGAGGAATAAAAAAAATATAAAGGTCAACAATGGTTCATTCATATTTCATACTCGCGACTTTTATCCCGTATTATCTAAATCTTACTAAAGAGGAAATTGCGCGTTATGGCCGCTTACATTTATCCGAGCATGAAATACGACGTAGCCTTCTACGTGTGAGTGTGCGTACGTGAGCGCGCGCGTGTGTATGTAGAGATGTACATTCTCGCGGGGAATAATTTCTTACCGTAAGCTATGTCCGTTTTACGCGCTCATATATTATTCCCGAAGCATTTACACTGGCTCTCACATTGTCGCGACGCCCCGATAAAAACCCCGACGTTAATAAACAAGAACTTTCTCTTTCTCGTTGAAAGGGAGAATCACGTGTACTCGTTCAATTAACGCTTTCATGCAGCACCCTTTTTCTAATAATATCGGCCTTTAAAAAACATTCAAGGCTCATGCGAGATTCCTTTGTGCATGTCAATGCCAACGGCAGACGCGTCCCCGCCGTCGCTCGTGCGTCACATACACATTTATTTATCGCGTCAAGCTGCATATATCTTGTAATTATATTATTCTGCTGGTCATATTTTTCAGTGGCGTACCGAATTTTCCACAATTATGACGTTGATAGTGACGACATTATGCTCTCGTTTAATATATATCCAAGCCTTTGTAATAATTATACCAGCGTGGTAGCGCTTTTGAGATTTGACACGCGAGATAATTAACGTGACGAATGGATTTCGTTCTCATTAAATACCAGTGTTGAATGACAGATGTTTTCTCGCGCTTTTAATTTTAATTTGTAAACACTGTCAAATATTTTATGCTTATTCCCGCGTGTTTCATCAATTAAGTTGTAATAAAATCTGCTCGTGCTTTCGTTTGCAAATGCATATATTTTCATTGCAGTGATTTGCATCCATGCAATTTGCTCGTTAAAAATATAAAATGCACGTTTATGGGTTTTTAATTAATTTCAGTGAAGAATGAGGCTACTAAGATAAATTAACATTATCATTCCAAAGTTAACGGAGACTATTATATTTAATGTGAAGCAGCAAAAGAATGGCACGCGCTTTTTTTATCTGATAATAATGGATCAAAAAGAAAAATTAGTGCTTGGCTCAAAGCGTTATATTTTACTCCAGAGTTTTTAAAGTCAAAAGTCATAATCGATAATGCAAAAATGAAATGAGGTCATAAAAAAAGGGAGTGAAAGAGAGAGAGAGAGAGAGAGAGAGAGAGAGAGAAAAAACAGCGCAGGTAGGCAGTATTTGACGTAGCAAATCGACAGTGGGCTTCGGGGGTTTAAAAGCGCGAAAGGTTTACGGTCGTACAGCACACAGCGCCGGCTGTATACATTATACGCTAAGCGCGCTCGAAAATTGAAAAGCCTGCAGTATTTCTCATGGTCTTTCTCTCTCTCTCTCTCTCTCTCTCTCTCTCTCTCTCTCTCTCTCTCTCTCTCTCTCTCGCTTTTGCACGCGCTCGTGCGAAGATAATAAAGAAGAAAGAAAATAAAGCGGAAATTACGGGGGCCGGCACAGCAGCAGCCAGCAGCAGCAGCAGCAGCAGCAGCAGCAGCAGCAGTTTCGCTCCTACATGATTCCGAACGAAACACACTGCGTCGTGATTTGTTTGTCTTGCAGGACGTTAATGGATCACACCACCCTATACACCGACTCACTCCTGCGCAAAGTGTTTCTTGCGCTCCGACACTCCCTTATACCGTTTGCCGAACCCAGCTATGCTCCCAGACTTGCTCGCTCTTCTCTTTATTTCCGCTCCATTATCCCTATAACGTTACTATCCGTTGCGGCTTCATCCTTTCTAATCAATCGGAATTAATCTTTATTTACATTTCCTTTCGCACGACACATTCCTATTGCGTCTAATTGCTTTGGCTTCGCAAGTTACGCGGATGTATTACAAGATGCTATTAATTCATCGACAGTTAGGTCTCTTATATCAAAAAGTCATTATATCAAATCCTCTTTAAGATTACAATTTTGAAGATGAATGCTTTTTTATACTCACATTAGGAAGCGATGTTTTTAAGAAAATATTACTTTTATTATGCGTTATTACGTGTTATTTATGGAATTATTTCATCAGAATAAAACCAAACAATAAACGGGAATCGAGTAATTACTCAGAATAGAACCATAACGAATCTTTTAATGCGGCCAAATTGCGAAATATCAGAGGATATATATTGACAGGCAGGCGAGTGAGAGCCATATTTTTATGAACGAAATTAAAGAAATTATTTATAAAAGAAAAGTAACGAATCCAATTCGGCCAGTGGTAATACATATTCTCTATACGAACAATAAGCGTACAAGGCAGAGAGAACATAGCGGGTGCCGTTATCCCATCCATAAAAGCCGAATAACGAACTCTTGTGTAAGATATGAGTAGCAGCATGGACCACGCAGAACCCAGAGCCAACAATATAAATTTTCAGTGAGCATTTGTACGGGGGGGGGGGGGGGAGAAACAGAAGAGTGTGTATAGCCTATCACTCAAAAGCTTTTTCAAGGATCTATATTCACGAGAGCCACTATTCCACAACGAACTCTATTTTACATACCGCTCGAGCTATATATGCTTGATGTCATTGACGCAAGCTCGTCAGTTTCTAATAAATGCAGTTTAACAGATATATATTCACTGTTTGATTGACGGCAACAGAGATTTCTATTGGATATCGATCTACTGTCAGAATTCCAATTCGATTTGTTTATTAATTGTGAATACGAATTATGTCGTTTTTTCTATTCGATAGAATTTTTTTTCAATGGCATTATAGTAGTCAACAATTTTTTCCTATCGTTATATTTTTGAATTGGCTAATACTATTCAGTAACAACGTATGACTAACTGAGAACCGTTCAACTAAGAACATCCACCCCTTTCGATGGAATCGGTTCAGCAATTCAAAAATATACATGTTCGAAATTCTTTTATTTATTTTTTTTAATTCGAACAAAAAATAAATTAAGAATGACTCTTAAAGTAATTAAGTGTATTCTTAATGTTTACTAATTATATATATATATTGCGCATCTCATTTATCAATTAGTTCGCAAGTTAACCTATAACTAAATAAAATAATCAAATTGTAAATGTGCAGTTACTGGTACACTCACGCTAAGGATTTGAATCTGACCCTAGTAAATTTTGGTATGTTTATTGTAAACATTGTTTAAGCCATAATTTTTACTAGGTATTTTAACATATATTATTACATATTTTAATAATTAATATAACATATTTGTTATTATTTGTTTGAAATGTTTTAATATCGTCGTGTAAAAATAATTGTGGTCAGGGTAGAAATTTCATAAAAAATTTAATAAACATGATAACGAGTAGAGTATGTTCGATTATTATTACATTTTGTAATTATAGCATATTTGCTATAAAATATGAAAGTCGAGAGATGAAAGTTTTAATGATCAACGATAAATATTTGTTTCTCTGGAAGCCTATCGAACAATCACCACAAATAGGGTCGACCAGGAGACACGCTTGTGTCGTTGCATTTTCTCGTCTGTTCAGTCGACTGTGCAACGGTATCGCAGCTATACATAGCACACTCACAGTCGAACAGCGCACTTATCTCAATTCAGTGGGTGTCGCGCTTTGTTGAAGTCCGTAAATACGCTGGCAGCTCGCGCGGCGGCAGGTATCGGCAGCACATAAATAGCTTCTATACCTATAATAAGCTCTTGCGGGCGAGCTTTCTGTCTTTCGGGAAAGCGAGCTCGATCCAACTGCCGTAAAAGCGCGAAACTTGCCGGTAGCGCGAGCGATATCGCGATCGGAAATCCCGGTGATTCGAGTAACTTGGCTCGCGCCGACCGTATTTTTTCGACGAGAGGCAAGTCGATCGCGTCGCATCGGCAAGTGTCTCTCTCTCTCTCTCTCTCTCTCTCTCTCTCTCTCTCGCTCTCTCTCCTTTTTTATTGATCCCGACGGTCGAGGCACTCGAGTGCCACCACTCGACGTCGACGACTTATTATTGCGCTCGTCACCGGCGCGCCGTGCCCGCGCGCCGAGGGACCGAGACCCAGGGTATTTGGTATATATCGCCAGTAGCGGCATTCCGCGAGACGTGACGAGATTAATCATTTCCCACGGCGACCGCGTGCGCGCGAAAATTCATCGCACTCTCGCGGCCGATGATATCCAATTGACCGCGACAAACGTACCCGGTCGTGTCGATCCTGCTGCGCCCGACTTCCATATCGTCCACGTTTCACGTGGATGCTCGTCAGAGGTGCGCGACAGACAACAATTGAATGTTATTTTACTTTCTTTATTGCCAGATGGAGTACTGTGCACGACCATTGGAAGGAGCATCGGGAGAGCGCCGACGGCGCGTATGCATCAACAAGAACAAGAAGGCTTCGATGCAGATCTAATCTCAAGTTGCCGACAGTTTCGTCGCTTCTGATAGGGCACCAAAGCATGGTCCACTGCTCTATCGATCGTCCGTATAACTCGGTCTAAGAGCATATCAACGGCTCCGCTCACATTCTGTCCCGTCGCAGCGCTCATCTCCAAGTAAATCATACTAATCAAATAACACATTAAAGTTTCTGACAATCTCTCGCTTCGTCGAGGCGTTAACGTTCGGAAGTGAATCCTCCGCGAAGAGGATGGATATTAAAAAGTGATCATCAGCCGAGACTTTGAACGTAGTATTATAAAGAGACGAAACATTATTTTTGCAGAGGTATTAAACTGGGTTTACGTAGCTGCACTATAAATAGCAATCCGATCGGAGCTTTTCACGGAGCCTGACCCAGTTTAAAATTTAATCTTGAATTCGAAAGAGATTTTGACGTGAAACAGATAAAGCTGAAGTGCACGGCGCCGCGTAAGATCCGCTTTATTATGAAGCGCAAACGAAAATCCACCGAGCATTCTGGCGTTACTTGCGTAAGAAGTAATGTTTACCAGAGCAGGTAGGACAGCGCGAGGGGTCTATTTAAAAAATGGTCTACGGAGTGAGAATTAATGGTAGAGCAAAACGGGATTTCGCGAGCGCGAATCACAAATGAAAACACGGGATCCGGTTTTGCCGCGCAAAAACCCATTAGCGGAACTTTTGGCGAGAAAGCAAGTGACATTAGCGCTCGCGACATATCGGTCAGAGGCATTAATTTCCCGTAAAAGTGGAGAAAAACACGCGGCGGCCCGGCGAGCTCCAAAGGAGAGAAGAAGCAAAGCCTCGACAGTTCTCGAGAAAACGCGATCAAGTCTGCAAGAAGGTCTGCAAAGAAAGCAAAGCCTGCCGTAGCAAAACGCGACGAAATCGAGCTTCTTCTCGCGCTGCTATTCCTCAAGGATCCTCATTACATTAATCTCTCGTAGCGGCTGTACGTACTTGTGCTCTTGGGCCAGCTCTCGAGCCTGGATCTCGCTTATTACTCGTCTGTTGGCCAGGTCCGACTTGTTACCGCAAAGAATGACGTCTGGCTGTTCGCAGTAGGCGTGCATCTGTGTGCCGACAATTGCAAAGCGATATTAGGCCCCGCCGTATATAGCTCGATAGCTCGTTCGTTCGTTGGGACAGGATGCGAGTTAATGTTGAAATATGCACGTAGAATCGGCGTGCGGCCAAAATGCCAGCCGGCTAATCAGAACGAGCCTTTTAGAGCGGAAAAGCCCCTTGGCCTTTCCGAGCACGTATTAAGCCGCAATGTAATTAGCATTGTTATCATGTTGCTGTTTTTGAGAGAGTCAGGCTATCCTGCATGCACGCGCGCCCACTTGTAAACTTTGCAATTGAATTTACTCGAGTATTCCACATAAAATGAAAGCGTTTTACGACTTTACAACTTGGCTAGAGCAGCGTGTTCTTATGAATCACTTCAAAGTTGGAAAACTCGGAAGGCTCGTTCCATTATCCTTTTTCTTCGCGATTAAAACAAAAATCCAAAGCCATATACCCTGATCTCTTGCAGCCAGCCTCTTACGGCCAGAAAGGACTGTTCATTTGTCAAGTCGAACACCAGAAAAAAGCCCATCGATTCGCGGTAGAAGCCCGTGGTTAAGCTTCGGAACCTGCGCAGAAATTGAAATTCACGATAAAATAGCCACACAGAGATGCAACAAACACCGGTCGCGTATTTAAGTGAAGGACACAAACGCAGTCAATCGAACAAACGAAAAAACGACCAGGAGTGCACTGGCGTTTGGATAAAGCAATTTATATTCTTTACCTTTCTTGTCCAGCTGTGTCCCAAAGTTGTAAACGTACTCTCCGAGTTTCTCCTTTCGATGACTCATACACCTGCGAGCGAAAAACAATAGAGCATGAGTAAAGAGAGCTGATATGAAAAGTAGTCGAGCAGAAACAACTGCTAAAAGCGATTGAGCGAGTGGCAAAGAGAATAAAAGGCCGGCCAGTAGTCAACAAAGTTAATTTCGACAGAAAGAATCTGAAGAAGTATGAAGCTGGAGAGGGAAGCATTTATCTCACAAGTCGCTTTTCCTTAAAGTCGATGCCAACGGTGGAATGAAAGCGCGGATTAAACGTGCCTTCTGTGTAGCGATATAAAAAACTCGTTTTTCCGACGCCCGAATTGCCGAGCGCGAGAAACTTTAGCAAATAATCGTAATCCATTTCCGGGCGACTGCTGCACCCGGCGACCTATTTTTTGCTTTCTCTCCTTCCTTTTGCTTCTCCCAATTGAAATCTGCGAGTCGCACAAAAAACTTGCGCGCTTGCGATCGGCGCCCGATCCGTTGTATTTACGTGCTGCGAGGCTAGCTGTTAGCCCGCGGCGCTTTGCACGATCGCTGGACTTGTTTCCCTCTATCGTCACACGAGAAATAGGGTTTCGAACTAAAGCCTTGCTGCTCACTAAGGCATTTGGAAAAGTCCAGGGTGACGAGGGATAAGCCGCGCTTTCAAAGGTTATATATTCGTATCAAATGCGATGTGTCCGCGGCGGTCGACACTTTACGAACTTACTATTTCACAAGCTGCGCTACGCTGATAATACTGTCACTTCATTTAAATTCGTACTTTGCGCGCCATCTGCATCTTCAAATTTCAAGTGCGTCAATCAAATGCAGTACTCTTCTGATAATTCTGTCTGTTGACGAACAGTTTGTTCTTACGGCAAATCAAATTAATTGTCAAAAATTTTAAATATAATACGAGTAAAAACTATTTTTATAGATTGTATCATTCACGCACTGTTTTTAATTCAAAAGTTGAGCGGTTCAACAACTTTTATATATAAAAATATTATTATTCATATATGTTTGGTAATATATTGTCAAGGAAATAGCTAGTTTAACTTAAAACGCGTTAAAAGAATACATAACAGCAGATGCCTTCCTATAAATAGAAATCGCCATTCGAGAACGTCGTCTGCTTCATATCGTAAACAATTCCGTTACTTCGTTCCAAACAAACATTTTTTTCTAGGAAAAATAATCTTTAAGTTATTCAACCAATCTACAATTATGTCAGACGATGAAAAAGTACAAGTTAACGTTGAATATTGGTAATTTATATTGAAACTTTACAAAATTGAATAGGTTTGCTCACGCATAACCTTTCTTTGTATTTCGGCTTTAGTGGAACGTGCGGCCATGTGAAACAATTTATGGACATAGTTCAACAAATTCAAGAAGCTACACCTGGCGTTGAAGTAACTGGATTTGCGGGAAGACAAGGTATGATAGTACGAGAAATGATCATAACAAATTTTAACACAAAATTTTTTCGATTATTATTACATCTTGATATTTTATTCATCTTTCTAGCATCTTTTGAAGTGCATGTTAATGGAGAATTGGTTTATTCAAAATTGCAAACCTTAGCTTTTCCCGACTTTAAAGAAACAACGGAGATGGTTAAAGGTGTAACTGAGGGTAAACCTATAACTAAAATTATAAAACAACAGCCAATAACTTGTGTGATTTCTTAATTAAGATATATTAAATTCAAAGAGTCATACAAATTTTGTTATAATATCTATATAGCTTTGTTAAAGCGTTTAAATAACATTTATTTTTAAGATATTCATATTTCATTCGTTCAAATGATTCACAAAATTACAAAAAGACTGAACTATAATTATGAAATAAAAATGAATCTTCTTTTAAAAATTATTGTATATTATTCCAACTATAAAACTTAATTTATATCACAATGCTCTGAATACTTGTATTTTTAATTTAGTGATAGAATAATCTATCACCAATTTTTAACACATCATTTTCTTGAAATTCGTTAACTAAATATATTCCAAATTTGAGTTTTCCATGAAACTCTTCCGCTAAAGTACGCAACGGTTCTATAGTTTTCTTGCCAGTCAATTGATCAATGCATACCATTTGACATCTAGTGCAAACTCCTTCAACCTATTATAGTAAATAAAGGTATTACATATGTAACAATTCAATGTTCACACCAAAAGGAATAGTACATTACGATACAAGTGCAGGAAAGTGCAATTTTCAACGCACGTTTTCTGCCGAGCGTCCGGAAAAGACGCACTTTGCGCACGGAGTATCGAAAAAATAAATACACACCTTGAAGTGACAATTTCCAATCTTCACTTCACTCCATTTCGTTTCTTCAAATGCTATACATCCGTCAACAATGAAATTTCCTCGAAATCGATGTAATAAGGTATTTTTATCACATTCCAAATCTTCTTCAATTTTATCACTTAACCACTGAATGCTAGAGTTGTTTATCAAAAGATATTGACTTTGACTTGCAAAAGATAGTTCTGGTTTATCAACTTCTAGAAATATAACATCAAGATTATAAAACAAGCTACCTATCAATAATTTTATTAACAGTTTAGATCTTTAAAAATATTACTTTGCAAAACTGCTTCACATTGCCTCACTAGCCTAAGATTAGGCCTTCCTAATGCCAAACTGAGCCATTCAGAAACTTCTATACCACAATCAATTCCTTCAACTTTATGTCCACAGATTTTACCCCTGCAAATTTTACTGTTACGGATTTGATTTAATTTAAAAATCAAGGGCACATCTATAGTTGGCATGTCTAAAAATTAGAAATAAGAAGTAAAAAATTAAATGCTTCATATAATTTTGATTTCAAACAAAAAAACATACTTGGATAATTCAGTTTCAAAACATTATGTTTCAAGTCGACGACTGGCATCAATAAGCATAGTTTAGTTTCTTGTTTTTGTGTAAGACAAACTCCTAACGATGTTACAATCATCCACTCTCGATCGTATTGCAATCCTTTTGACGTCACTTTCCAGCAATTTTCAATTTCGTATGCTCCGCATGATTTCACAGGATAAATAAATACTTTGGATAATCGAGGGATTGCCTTATCGTCGAGAAAATTTGAAATAATATTTTGAGTAAAACATATTTTGTTTATCATATTTTCATTTATAACGTCGATCAACGACTCGTCTGCTGTAAACTCGCGGTTTACACTATTATTGTAACAGCCTATTGCAGCATGAGCTTTATATTTCACGCGTATTTTCTCTTGGAATTCATGCCACCATAAAGGATATTTTATAACTTCTTTTCCTTTCACGAAACATTTTCTGATCATTGTGAGAATTGTTTTTACATCGCTTATTGTTGACATATATCCAAATGATATTCGAACAGCGCCAGTCGGTTTACCATCAATTAAGTCGACCGTACCGCCACAAGTATATCCAGTGTCGTAATTTTTTAAAATATCAATATCAGAAAGATTCATATGTCGTTGACAAGCTCCCGGATTGCAAAAACATCCTGTACGTAAGTGAATTTTATGCAAAGCAGCCATGTTGAGAACTTCCATAAAACCAATATATTCTTCATTAGCTCTTAATATATTGAAAGTCACCACTCCACCCTGTATATCTATATTTTCATAGTCAGTGTCAGAATATAATTTTACAACTGGTGCTCCATTTTGATGATGCAACATAAGTAAAGATTTATATAAGCACCGTGCTAAAGAAAATACATGCAAGGATATCTTGGGCATAGATATTTCAGATAAAAGTTTGAATCCATACCGAAGTGAAATGATAGTTAAAAAAGAAATTGTTCCATCTTCAAACCTGAAAACAATTCCTATGTTATTATACTGTAATCATATAGAAAGTGAGACAGAAAAAAATGTCTTACCTTTCATGCAGGATTTTTCTATTGACATGGTACATTTTAGAACTCAAAGCTAAATTAACTGTTCCACCTCCATAGTATGTTTTGTTTAAAATACCAGCACTACTATTTTTTACTAGGAGAGCTCCTATACCAGTGGGATAACCAAACAGTTTATAAAATGATAGACATACAAAATCTGGTTTGTATACTGAAAGATTCAAATCATTAGTAGCTGCAAAACTTGCTGCATCTAGCATAATAAACCAGTTAGACTCATTTCCTACGTAAGAATTCAAATATCCAGATTTTACTTTATCAATCCAACTTAAAGGATATTTTAATCCTGAAAAGTTACATTGGGCGGAATACACAAATAATGAATTGGATTGTTTTTCAATTGAATAATTGCTATCGAAATTCTGCTCTAAAATTCTGTATGCATTTTTGTGGTCAATACAAACAACATTAGCTCCTTTCTGTAAAACTAACTCCCTCATTCCAAGTACTGATGTGTGATTATCTTGTAGATAAACAAAATTTCCATATTTTCCATTTGACTCATTTTGTGTAGTCCTAAAACTAAATGTTTCAGCTAAAAGTTTTAAAGAAGCTGTGGCTCCAGATGTAAAAATAACACTGTATTCATCTTGCGTTGTGTGGAAGTGATCTAAAATACTGATGAAGATTGATTTGTGATTAATTAAATAATTAATTACGTAATTTAATTATATAGTTATCTAATTATTCACATGTATCGAATGTTGTCAATAGTTTCCTCCGTAATATTTCCATTAACTCCATGGGAATGAGGATTTGTGTACAATGATGTCAATAAATCGTCCAAAGATTCCTTAATCTGATTATCAGAATACAGAGTACTACCTGCGTGATCTACGTAGCACTCACCTATCAAATTATGATAAGATATTTTTTTTAACATGACACAAACATGTTTGTTAAGTTTAGTCAATAAAAATCAATTAATTATTTATATGCATAAAAATTATATATAATACATAGATTATTAAGTAATTAGTATTTAAATTTAATATAAGGTTGTCAGAATCACTATAACAAACAAATAAGCATCTCTATTTTCGATATGTAAAAAAAATAAAAAATTCGTTATGTGAATTACATTTAAAATCAGATGATATCACTGTACCTTTTATCCGGGAGAATTTTTGCTCCAAATTTCGATGTGTTTTGTCATCATAAACAGGAGTGTACGATAATTCGTCCATGTCAGTGAATAGCCAAACACGGTATGCTGCATGCTGAGATTGTGTAAGGCTAGTGGTTATTTAACTTGTTACTCAGTAAACTTATCTTCTCGTAACTTCCAGCACCAATTTCCATTCAAGCCTTTCACAAGGATATCATTTTTTAAACCTGCACTCATTGTGTAAATCACAGTAAGGCATAGATGTCGGAAGAATAGTGCATAAATATAGTTTTTTAAATTAGTTCCAGTAATGTCGGTAATTGAAGAGAATCATCAGATGCGTCAGAGATACTGATTTTTAAAACGCCTCATAAGTATTTTTTAATTGCTTGCTTTGTCACTATTTTTTACACATGCACAGTGGAGAATAAAACTTTATAAAAATAAGCAAGATGAGAAACGTGATATGTATAGAACTGCGCAAAGCTAAACTGCTTCTGTACTATATATATGATATAAAGAACTGCGTTAGCAGTTGAGTATTATCATACTACATTTGATTTCTAATAGATGGACATAGCTGTATTATGTGGACTAACATTGACCCACAAATATCTGTTTAAGTAAAAATGTAAAAAATTTATGTAAAATTCAATTATCATTTATTACAAATGTAACTGAATTATAATAATTATTGAGTAATTTGTTTGATTATTTTATTTAAATTGACTAAAGATTTAACAAACTAACATTTGTAATAAATTATTGTCTTAAAAAATATACACTACTTAGCTATCCACTATCAATCTACAAAATGTGTTGTACTTATAAAATTTGCTCTCTTAGATACAAGCTATTTTGCAAATAGACTGATTGATTTTAAAAGATAAATGCATTAAAATTGTTTTACATTGAATGATTTATCATTTATAGACAATTACTTTTACGAATAAATAAAATAAAACAATATATTTGGTGGATAAAATGGAAAATAAAAAAAATTCACGTAATCATGAGCATTTACGCAACGATGGCCAGAGTGACGAGGTGGCCGAGTGGTTAAGGCGTTGGACTGCTAATCCAATGTGCTCTGCACGCGTGGGTTCGAATCCCATCCTCGTCGATCTTTTTTGTTTTTCTTTTAAAAATCATATGTAATTTATAAATACATGCTTCAAATGTAACACAGCGATATTTAACTAACTTACACATGCTATAATTTGGTTTTTTTGGAATGTTTGCATGTCTAAGTAAATAAAAATTACAATGTTAATAAAAACTAAAATTCCTTGGAAAGATGTTTATTATAAAATATTTTATCATTCTTAATGTATTTATTAATTCTAATTATTGTAATAAAAAAAATAATTTATACACGTTGAGGCCCCGGGGGGATTCGAACCCCCGATCTCCTGTTTACTAGACAGGCGCTTTAACCAACTAAGCCACGGCGCCCTCGTTAGACCGGTAAAAATTAAGCACATTTATAAGTTTATATTTCCTAAACAAGTTTTTATACCTTTATAATTTTATTTTATCAACACTTTAAAAATCAATTTTATTTGTTTGAAAGTTATAATTTCGTAAATAGTGTTTAAAAATAACAAATATATATTTTTGTAAAACGTAATACTAATAAGATAAATTCTACTTTTATTTAATGAATCTTGGCTCTGTACTTTATTTTTATTTTGATTCGTCAACAAAAACGGTAATTTTCTTCTTTACTATTTATTTTTTGATCATCATATCTGAAATATGTGTTAATAATTTTTACATAAAGGCTCTGATAAATGAATTATTTCTATGGTACTCACAAATCGACTATAGAATGAGTAAATTAAATGATATAAAACAAAAAACATCGATAAGAGAGATATATATAAACGCGGCCGCAAAGAGTGTCATAAGATTTAGGCAAAACAGTGGAATACAGGAGTGGGAGAAAGTTCACGGTGATAGAGTCGCCGAAGGATCAAATGAACAAGGCAGTTCGTGGCGTAGCGCTGGCGTGTACAAAGCATAAGTCACAGTAGTGTTTTAATAATGCTCTTAATTTTGTTTTTCAATTTATTCATGAATGTATAAGATACTTATACATTAGTAGTTTTATAAAAATATTGATAAAAATATAGTGGCTGTATGAAAAACCAATTTTCTTTCATTTCAATTAACCGATTTAATATCACTGCTCATTTCGTACTTCAAATTGATGTCTGGATTTTTATGTTCTCATTTCAAAGTAATTTATTCGGTTTCGTTAATAACAGCAATTTTATTACAATGAAGGTATAGTATTATATGAATATTGATTAAGCAGAGTCTTCTTCTGTAACAAAAGTACTGTAGTAGAAAAGAGAAAATATAACAAAACGTGTGATTTTGCACGAGATGTATAGCTGTTGCGATCTTTTTATGGTGTAACTTTGTTATGGATTTTGCGCCAACTTTAGCAGTTATATTTCAAATTGCGAAATATTATGTCAGTTCCAAGTAACTTTCTTTAAAAGAAATATGATCATTTTGTCCAGTATAAAATAATGCAAGGCGATTTAAAAAAATCCGGTGGATATCAGAGATCTTGAACAATATTTTCAAGTAGTTCAAATTCTCAAAAGAATCTGAAAAACTTGCATGAAAATCTCTCTACGTGACTATGTACAGTAAGTTTTGTGGCTGGCTTACTGCGATACTCGAAATTTTGTAAACGAGAGAGTGAGCGAGAATACGCGCGCGGAAAGTGATGCTCGTAAAATAGTTGGATGCCGCAGTGACTTTATGACCGGGCCTCGTTGCCGCACGAATCAACTATCCCATGCAAGTCCATATACGCATTGCCGATAAAAAATTTTCTTTGAGATATAGAGCTGAATTTTCTTTATCTTCAAATAGTCCAAGTATGCATGTTATCTTTTCTAATGTATAGAGTGTATTTCTGCTGACGAGTTTCAAATTATGATCAAGTGTAAACCATTTTTATATTGATTTTATTTAGTATTTTCCAAAAAGAGCCAATAAAATAGTTCACTGCATCTTATCAAGAGTTGTATAAGATTTTTCGTTTATATATAGTACATACGATACAAGTACGTAAAGTTCCTAACAAGTTTCTAACAAGAAAGTAGAGTGAATAGGCGCAAGGGCGCAAGAGGAGAGGAACGCCACCTCGATAAAAATGGTATAAATTATAAATCAATCATATAAACATTTTTAATCATAATATCTACCAAAAGAACGAAATTTATTTATTTGATGAAAGTTTCATTGGTTTCATTATAATGAATTACCCCCCCCCCCCCCCCCCCAGCCTTTCATCGCCACGCTTCACACTTACAATCGCAATACACAGAAAACTATGTAATATACTATAAGTCGAGTCAGCGATTAAGCTAACACCATTATAAAGGGTCATATTGCAACCTAGGTGCATTATGCTAAGCCTTGTCTAAAAATATTAACTAAATTCGGCTACATGGCTTAAATTTAATATTACAATTTAATATTCCAACCGGTATTAAAAAACAAATAAGCTACAAATAAGTACGAGAAACTGGCACTTTGTGTTGTACAATTGGCATTGATAACGTAAACATTTTGCGTACGCTGTTAGAAAAAATGTTTAATTATTCTACTTGTACTTGTACATCGAATTGACGTGGCTTTCCAGCTTTCCTAGCGTATTCCACCAAACACGACATACTTATTATCGGTCTTGTTGAAAGAAGATACCAAATGACTTTAATCCAGGATGATAGTGATTTATTAAGAAAAAGCTTTGTTTATAGTGAAGAAAAATATGCCTATTTATTTTGAGTAAGTGATTTTAAATTAACACCTAGATATATGATTTTTGTTTATTTTCAGTCAGAAAAATACTCTATTGTTCCGCAAATGATATTAATATAGTTTATAATGCCATCTCTTATACTTGGTATAAAAAGAATTGTTTTGCATTTAGCTTAATTTGATTTGAAATTAAGCGTAGTATATTCTTGAATAGTTTCATTGAAATTCTGATCAAGTAATTTCTGTACAACTGTACAAGCTCCGACTAAGCAAATAAGGTAATACTGTTATCCGTGAATTCATCGGAATATATACTGCGTTAGTATTGAGATTAAATAGAATTGAAATTGAGACTCTGAAGAGCCTATCGTGCCTCGCATTAACGATGCATGTTCCTCATAAGCTAAATCAAGTCTCAAAATCGACTAGACGCTATCTAGTGTATACTTACTACATTGTTGTATAATTGTGTGTCAAGGTCGGTATGAAGCTTACGAATTGCAGATATGGTAAAGTGCTGGAATCTGTCGTCAAATTAGGTGTTTGGAATTGTGTTATTATTGTTTGCATAACTACGGACGGTGACGCTTATCACTGTCTTGAACTGTATATTAAAAACAATTGTTTTATTTGCGTAAGCTCTGGATAGATGATATAAAAGTGGAACGTTATTTGTGTCTTGTATTATGCCGAATTTGTGAAAACACATGAACATATGTGGTGCAATATAGCCAGATCAGCTACAGCAGATTTGCATTCGGAGACGATTGTTGTAAATTTTTAAAGGATCTTATTATCAACGTTTTTTTAGATTTGTGAGATAATCGCGCCTCAGTTTCAATATGAATATATTTATAGGCGGTATGTTCGCTATGTTATATATATATATATATATATATATATATATATCTGTGTTTCTAATAAAATGTTTGTTGTTTTCGTATCTGTATAAATGTAAAAATGCTTGCAAGCATAAGCGTTCGAATTTTCGAAGCTTTTCTGTGGCAGCTGCATTTATATTCCACCAAGTGGGAGCTGCATACCTTATGATAGGGCGTATCAGTAAGAGTTAGCAGATTATTTTTGCTTCTTTTGAGAGGCTTCTGTTAAAAAAGATATTGGAATATCCTCTAAATGCGTTTTTCGCTTTTTTTGAGCTGAGATTTTACGTGTGTGTTAAATCGCAATAAGTCGTCGAGTTGTACAGCTGTATTTCAAGGTTTGTTTATGCAGTACTATTACTTCTTTATCATTGTCGCTCATTTTTTTTGTGAAAGTTTATTATCTGTTGTCTTTTAATTCTGCCTAGGAATCTGAGAGGTCTATAGAAAACAATGTTTTCCTATTTGAGTTGGTTGGGTTGAAGATTCATTTCATATATTCTTTACTCGTTTCATCGATAATTTTTTGCAAAGTTTGCTGAACTACTTTCGAGCTTTCTTGGGCTATAAGCGCAATGTAATCATCTGCATATGTTGCCGAGTATCTATTATTGTTAGTATTCAGGTGAGAAAGATTTGGAATATGACTCGTGAAAATATTAAACAAAATAGAGAAATTAACAGTTCCTCGCATAAGGCCCTCAATTATTTTAAAGATAATAGGCTTTGTTCATTCCAAGTGACAAACGATCCATTTTTCGTCATATGCCAGATCAGTTGGATAAGTTCCATCGGATATTTTAGTGAGTACAAAATATAGAGTAATCCGGCTATCCATACGGAGTCAAAGGCCTTTTCAAGGTCAACTAAGCACGCGCCAACTACTTCACCTGTATCTAAGTGCTTGTATATATTGCTGAGAATTTTATGGATGGCGTGTTTGGTAGAGTGGTTATGGTTATCCGGCATGATTTGATTTAGATTCGAGTATTTTACGATTGAAAAGTTAATTATACTTTTACACATTTGCTAATCGCGGGGGTGAGGCTGATAGTGTGCTTGCAGCTTTTTCTGAAATTTTGTCCATTTGGTTTTTTTTATACATGAACTTAAATTTCAATTGTGGATCTATTTTTTCAATATGAATCACTGTTAGGATTTTGACAGCTAAGAGAATCGCACGGTACTCACTATTTTAATCAGAGGTAATGAGTTTGTTATCTATTGCGTTGATAATTTCTAAGCGGTTATCTATAATGTCGAGATCGAGAAAAAATTATGAGCTCGGAAAGATCGCGGTGCCAGGTGAGACGATATGAGCTCTGCATAAAATTACTGCAAAATTCCTTGACGGCATCTGCACCTCTGTAATTCGGAAGTTTTGATCTGTTGAACGCATTTTCGAATACTCTTGCTGGGATAGGTGCAGTTATATTATTTGTTGAATCAGTGACTGTTACGTTTGTACTCTGACTATTCAGTGTAGTTACGTTTTGTATCGGTAGGGTAGCTTGCCCGTTCCGGTTAATAGTTGGACTTCTATCTTCTGTTTTAAGAGCTTTATTAATAACAGGAGTCACACTTATGGGGCGATAGCTATAGAGACTTTCATGAGAGGTATTTCTAGTAAAAACACAAGATAACTGTACTCGTATGAAATGTTTATTATTCGGTAGTTTGTTATTACAGTCGTAGGCAAAAGAACTCCCCGGCCGGGAATCGAACCCGGGTCTCCCGCGTGACAGGCGGGGATACTAACCACTATACTACCGAGGATCTGTTTTCTATGACGCTTAAGATTATTATAGAAATTTAGTTACAATTCACACCATAACTTTCCACGTAAGTATTCGTTGAATTCCATATTACTTATTATTTATGTTGTCTTTGTTGTGGCTTATTCAACCAATGTATAATCATGACAAGTACACATCATCAAATTATGAATATTGTAGAAATTTATGAATAACCATCCGAACTAAACCTGAAAACAGTAAAAATATCTGACCAATACATTTACTTATACATCTCATAAATTCATTTTATCTGGAAATATGAGTCAGAAGAGTCTTTGGTAATATTATACAGCTTTGACAATTATTTTTGTAAATTGAACATCAGGGTATGATACTTTATATCATCCAATTTGTTTGTCCTTTAACTATGATTAAGATCACCCTATAAAATGCTATTTTCAATTTTATATAATTTCATATTCAAGAGAAATAAAACAACGAATAAAAAATTTTCAGTTATAAATTAAAGTCCTAAACAAAACAAATCTTTTGCAAACTTCTAGGAGTTTCTGAAAATTCATTATTATTTAAATAGAAAAAGAGTACTTCGTTTCCAGACTAAGTAAATAATTAATCATAAAAATTACGTGTATGCGTTATAATTTCATTCAAAATGAATGTTTTGACCCCGACGTGATTTGAACACGCAACCTTCTGATCTGGAGTCAGACGCGCTACCATTGCGCCACGGAGTCGCTGAAATAATTTGAGCTAAGTTGGTCATTTAAGTTACCTGGTATTTTTCAATTCATTATTTCAGTCGTAAATCAGTTAATGAAAATATTAAGAATTGAATTTGAATCTTCTTAGAAACGTACACGTAAAGAAATTATTGAATAACTTTGGAAGAAAATTTCTTCGATATTTTCTTGTTGGAATTGAGCCTGTATTTGATAAGCTTAAAAAAATGATATAAACGAAGAAAAGGAAGAATTCGGTATAGAACTTGATGGCGCTCATCGGTGCGCTCTCGGAACGTCAAGATAGAATCGTAGACAAGAGAAGAGTATGTACGTGATGCGTGCCCACATCCCGCATGCGAGCTCCCTTGTATCAAGGGAGCATGAAGAGCTAGCTAGTGAAGCGTTCGTTCGGCGCGAGCAGAGTTTCGCGCGGGTTGTCTCACCGAGCCCCTCCTCGGACCAGGAGCGTATGAAATTGGTACAGCTCTCGCGCGCATTTCGCTTCGTTCCCGCCTTATGATATTCTGTCATACTTTGACGTTCGCCCGTGAGGAATTTTTTCAACAGGAACGCATGCACACACTCTCTATCCTAGCCGACGCCATTTCAACCAGTGGAATGGACTGCCCGCGATATGGCGACTTGAGATACACTCCAAGGTGGCGGGAGAAGGAGTAAGATCCCCACTTCAAGCATCTCGGCGATAATAAATTTTAGGGGAAAGCCATAACAAAGGCCGTCCTGGGCCTTCGATTAATGCTGTTGCGAAACGTTCGATATTCGCATGCGTGACGTATTGCCGGGGCAGTCAATGGCGTTTCTTTTATCGAAAAAACTTGATATTCAACGTTTACGAAGCGTCAGCAGTGGTCAGCCCGCGTAATGGTCTGTCGTTTTTGGGGAAAAACAGTGTCACTGTCCCGTCGCGACGCTAAAACCGCCTAACTTTCGGACTCCAGAGCGTAAAACGCAGCGTATTGGAGCGCTCGGGTCCACTAGAGGCGAGTAAGACAAACGAGGGCGCAGGCGGCAAGTGGTCCTGCCGAAATTTGGTAAGTCAATGAACCAATGGCAGATGGAAAGGGTGTGCAGAGGACCAATCGGGCGTCGCGACGTCAGTCGTGCGCTTAGGGCCCGCGCGGCTCTTCCTCAAAATTGTGTCTTTCCGATCCGCGGCAAACAGAACGTAGCGACAGGTGGCGCGACGTTGCCGCAGTCGCTCAGCGTGCCACCTTCCGCGCTATATAATCTCCTGCTATTCAGACGGTTAAATTGTTGATTATGTCCATTCTCGCAGTGAGCTGCATGAAAATTAGGATAAAAGAGGGGAGAAGAGACACGAAGGTACAACACTGACTGAGTGTCACACGCAATATCGGCAACTACGACATCCGTGTGTACTGAATCCGTCCCCCTTGCTTATGAGACGTTACGTATGTCAAGCATAACGAGTAGCTTGCTGTTGCGACCAGTTTTTGGTACCCGTTTTTCAGAGTCTTGTGCTCGGGTGTTGATGAATTTTGATAAACTAACTGTAGATTTATTTCTCTATTAATTTATTCATTCCTTTGAAATTCTACTCATTCACCATCTATTGATTTTTACAGCACGTACAAGACGTCGAATCCGTAAATCAATAACATAATGATCCTCGATCAACATCGTTTTTCAGCGTTGTCAGCTTGAATTAATGATTAATCATTTGCAATATGCTAATTGCAATGGAAAATCCAGCTGTGCGCTTGAGATTCGCATCGCTAATTATCCGGCCGCGGGTGGGGAAAGGCTAGCCGCAGAGGCGTGAACGAGCCAATCATAATAACGACCTCGCCGCAACCAGAAAGTACCTCCATTATCTATAATTATGTTGTGGTCGATCGGATTTCTGCGTTCCCATCAAAATTTCAGCGGATGCATTGTGATTCACACCAATGTCGCGCGCAAACTTTTCACACCTCGACACACCGAGGCGTCTTAATGATTAACACGGCGTAATCATTTAGGCTCAATCAGTCGGCGTTTCTCATCAGGCAAACATAATGAGGAGCCTGGTAGCCTTAAAGAGTCGCCAGATAAGGCTGAAGATATCGTGGCAGTGATTAAAAGTTAAGGAGAAACACGTTCCCGCGCGTGCACAACCGGTGCTTGCCGATAGCTACCAAGCGCGACGAGCCCCGAGCGCGCGAAATTTTCACTCGCCGCAAGCCCACGGCGACTGACAATCGATCATACGTTTATGCGAATTTGCATACAATGGGGTTCCCCTCTTCTCTTGACCTCTTGTGCTAATAGTCTCGATGCCTTTCCAATCACCTAATTGTAAGTCATTGAAATTTTATACCCATTGCTAAATGATTAGAGTAGACGAGAGCTTGCCAAAGAAAGTACAGGCTGCACCATGCGTCAAAATCGATAGATCTTATGGGACTAGATGGATGCTAAGTGGCAAGTTGTAAAGGAAAGAACGTGGATGGGGCAACACCGCTCGAAGCTCTGCGCTCCTGATTGAAGGAGGGGCTGAACGAGGCAACCCGCGCGAATTTTGCTTGGCTCGAATGGGAGAGGAGAAAGATTCTCTTTCATGCTCGCCTGTTACGTCGCAGTATGTATGCGGGATGTGAGCACAATTTTCGTTTCTTCCTAAGCCATACGAAATGGATGCGCCATTTTACGTGTGTCTCAAGTTAACTAATACGAGAGATTTTTTCTTCATAACCGTTCATTAACGACACTATTTATTCACAAATTCCAAGTTTCAACTGAACCGATGGAATTTCGTAAAAGTTTTAGGTTTACAATGAGATTTCTACGAAGACAAATACACGTGCAGAAGAAGTAAATCTAGAATTTATTAAAGCTTATACCGTCAATTACCAATTTTTCCAGTTACATGTTGAATTTAAGTGGAGCACGACACAGTTTAATTATCGTTGATCAGTATTCGGAGATATCACGAAAAGCACCAGTTTACCAATCAACATCCTGCAATAACAGAATCAAGATGAGAGATTCGTTATAGTCGTGCTCGCGACTGATGGAACAAAGGATTCTGAAGGCTGCGCATGGGCGCGCCTTCGAAAATATCCAGGGGCGTGGCCCGGGGTGGCATCTTTCGACCGAAAGCTCTACCAGGGCAGCACACCGTACTGGAGCCAGATTCTTTCTCGCTCTTTCCCTCTCTTGCTTTCTCGCCTCGGTGGGTAGTCTTTCGAAACACGCACATACATATATATACACACACGCACACACACACACCGGTTTATTATTATCCATCTGTCTTACTTTCCCCTTCGCGCGCCTCATCTCTCTCTCTCTCTCTCTCTCTCTCTCTCTCTATCCCTCCATCTCTCTCACTCTCTCTCTCTCTTTTGCACGCTTTGTGTAAGTGTATACATTTCGTGGGTTAAAAACGAGCTCAAGGGCCTACGGTTGTTTCTGCACACCGGGACCTTGACAATATGGGTAGGTACGGCGAGCCCCTGTGAACAACATTCGCAACAGGATCGCATTCGCGTTTAAGAGCTTTTGAATTGACCGATAACCAGGAACCTTCTTTTCATGAATTCGACCATTACATACCGACATTTCCATTGCTACAACGTCCGCCTGTAAAGTTTCGTTTTCACAAGGCTTTGATTTATTCAAATAATACGAGACTCATAACGTTTTTATCATAGACTAACCTAAGCTAATTTTCCTAATCCAACTTAGTCAATTTTACATCTCTAATGACTACTTAATAGTTTTGAACTGGAAAATTGGAATAAAAATAAGCATTTTGACGGGATATGTGGACTTTATGAACAAATGAAAATTATTGTTCTAAACAATTACACTGCACAATTCACAAATTAAAAAAAAAACTATCCTGTTTGAAGTTTTTATAATTCCAATTAAAGATATTTTTTGCTTGATAGTGAAATATTATCTTGATACAAATATATTAAATGCCAATACAGATGAATGTCGTAACAATAATGATTTAATTAAAGATTGGTACCCCATGACTATGTGTTTATGCAATAATAAAGCTTACATCTGTTTAACTGAAGCTGGTTCTAAACTGAAAATAGCTTTTGAGAAGCCCTTCCAGTATCTTAAAAGTGTGATCTTTGATTTTAGTTCTAAAAATTGAAAGAAATTCTGAATAAATTTCAGACAGTACGGTGCTCACAGTTATTTCCTCTGATCAAAAATTCGCGCAGCTGCAGAGCCGAGCACTGCGTGTGCACATGCGTAAGGCATCGTGCGCGCGCCGACCACTACATGTACACACCACATGTATACGAAAGAAAGAGAAGGAGAGAGAAAGAGAAGCAGCTCGCTCGGGAGCGCCGATTGGAGCCAGCTCTTGCAGACTGATGCCATCCTGTTAGGTGTGAACCACGGCGCCGCGTACCGACGCAACCCATTGGACCTTCGAAGGCGTCGCTATCAGTGTGTAATTTTCGCGGGGGCCGGCGATGCTCTCTCACTTGCAGCACAGCAGATTCAGCAGCGGCGAGAGACAGGCTAAGCACGAGGGGTTTGTGGGTCTGCCTCTGTAGAGCTCCGCGCGAAGAACGAGCACATGCCGCACGCAGTGGAAACGTTCTCTCGCGACCGATCAGCGCCACGCTCGCTCTCTTGTACGCCTGCGCTACTGCAACTCCGCCAAACGTGCCTCGCGTTATTCACCTGCGCTCTAGTTTACCGATGCGCGCGCGCATTCCGTCGTGGTCGCACTCATAGTGACTACAGGTGAGAATACGGAGGATTTCGCGATTGCGTTCAGGTGTGACGGACACGGTTATGGGCAAAAGGCAAAAAAATTATGGCAGCGGTGGGATTCGAACCCACGCCTCCGAAGAGACTGGTGCCTTAAACCAGCGCCTTAGACCGCTCGGCCACGCTACCCTTGCATCGTTTTGGCGCTCGTAACTGTCGAGCTTTTCGTTCGGTACCGATTCATTATTCTTTTCTTGATTGTGTATTTTGAAAAGTATTGTTTTGTTTATATAGAAATGTACTATATTAATCATTCTACTATACAAACAAACATATCAAATAAAATATTACAACAACGTTGCTCGAACTAATCAAGTATGAACATATATACCTATAATTGATTTCATAATATTGGCATGCTAAACCATTTTTCAAAGCAGTATTTTGTTAATTTTAGAAGAATATGTTAATATTATTGTATTCGTTCACCACGAGATACAGAGTATTTAAATTCCGTATATGTAACTTTTTAAATAAAAATAAACTGGAATCCAGCTTTTATATTGGTATCAAATAATGCTTAATAGTTTTAGTTCATGCATGTGTTACTTTTTTGAAACAATGTCTCAAATACATGCTTGGAAGGAGTATTTCTAAATTATATTTATATCTTTAACACCGACAATTGGAAATCATAAGTATTCCAGAAAATTTCCAAACGGTTGTCATTTTAATATTATCAATTAAAGTATGACTATCTTTTTCTTTAAGGGTATACATTCACCTTATCATCTTATGGTTATAGGTACGTGATAATTAAGTACACGTTTGGCGAAGCGCAATAAGCTTCATATTACTTAATCCGATCATCGAAGTAATTCAAATTAAGACGTCATTGCTCTTGAAAAAGTTATTTAGAAGATTTAATAACCAGCTATTTATTTTTTCAAATTTTGATTGAAAACCAGAATAATTACTTTGTAATAGTTTGTCACTTTCACAATAATTGCAATGATTCAGCCACTATACGCAATTTTGAATAGTCCATGTTACAAAAGCTTATTAATGATATAGATAAAAATATTTACAATCAAAATTGAAATTTAAAATTCCCGCGATGAAAGAGATATCAGTAAAGCACAATCAAGGAAAAAGCTGGCACGGATATTCTCGAAAGCTTTCTCTCTTTTCTCCGCATACCGATGTATCTCTTTCACGAGTCTTGAGCGCTGTTTCTGGATGCCAAAATAAACTCAAAGCACGCGGGTTTTCCCTCTTCCTTTTTTAAGTTCTTGATGATAATTTTATAAGTTTTAAGAAAGCCGCTGCCGCGAGCTTGCGTGGTCGAGTGTAGCTCCAGCTACTCGCTTGAACGACGAGAAATTTTCACGGGTGTACAGCGTGTGGGTTTTTCATTGTGTAAGTGAGCGGCTGAGTAAGTGGTCCATATATAGATTCGCCACCCCCTCCCTCCCAACGGTCACTAACACGCGCGCACACCTGTCACGGATATATACTCTGCCACAAGCCGCGCGCCTCACACTTTTTGTGCTTGCACTATACAGGAAGGGCAAGGAGCTTCTGTGTTTAAGACCGGTCGGTTATTTTTTTATTGTGATTTTTTGTTTTTATAATCAATTATAAACACACATTTTTCATCATGCCAGGGCGTCCATTATGGCAGGTAAGCTTAGTATTACGTCCCGGTAGTGCAAAAATTTTACGGGCGCGCCATTGCTTCCGGTTGACGTACTTGCTCTTTTATTTTTCACGTGCAGTATTTAAATCGTACTTTGTTTACTTTTCGCAATATATCATAGTTTTTTATGTTTTTTTTTAAATTATTTGTGGTTTTGTACTGTGACGCAGACTTCTGAAAAAGGTTTTGTTGAATTTCGAAATATTTACTTTTCAACACATTCGCAAATTTGGTAATGTTCACGACCAGCTGTACTTTTTGTAATACAAATTTTGAACCGTTGAAAATATGATTGGATCGCTGAAAAGTAAATAATGTGGCGGGCAGAGTTTGGGAATAGCTGTGCGCGTTTTTCCCCGTCTTAAAAAATTTGAAAAACAAACTCTTGTAGTGTTACTTTTATAATTTCTCGACAAAAATTTATTAAACTTGGGAAAAATCCCGATCTTGGTCGTTAAAATAACTAATATTAACTTTAGTCTTAATGCCTTGTGCATATTTTTAACTTCTCTCAACATTGTTTTCTTATAAACAAGTAGTCGCTTGATATTTTTTTATACAAATATTTACCCAAACGTTTATTTCTGCATTTTTGAACGCTGTTTCATCAAATAATTTCTGCCGAAAGTCTTATTTTCGTGTGTTTTTCACCCGCAAGTTCTCTAAATTTGGAAGCTGCTCCGTGATATAGGTGATTCATAGTTTATATCAAACTATCTTATCGAAATTCTATATCTGCATAATCTAAAGTGTAGTTTTCCTGATACTTCATTCTCAAGTGTTAGATGAAAATGTATGAAATTTTGAAATTATTGAAACCATTCCTGAAATAAATCTATCACCACTCCCGTAATAGAATCGAAAATAACCTTGACACCTCTTATGAATCATCCTTAGAGTTACGAAATTGAGGATAATAACAGCTGATTCTGATGAGGTATTCGTTTTTTTGTTTATAAAATTAGTTAAACATTCGTAACTTTCCTAAGCCGTATTTGAGATGCTTCTTATTAAATGTTAAGTGACCATTTCAATTCCACATGTACATTTTTGTAAAACCTGACATTTTGTATCAATCAGAATGTAATTACTATAATTGTTAATAAAATTTTAATCACTGCTACATTAACTACAAAGTCAGTATTAAAAAATATTTTATCAAAATATTTTATCAAAATATTTAATCAAAATATTTTTTGCATATTAAAAAGAATGGTATAACAACAAATCCAAAACAATGTTATTGCATAATGAGAATTGGTTGATGATTTCAAATTCTACTGACATATTCCATAAAGGTATTCCGGAAATAACTAAAAAACCAACCTCGACTTCAAACCAGTGCAAGGTGGCAACTTTGAATTGAAAATTTCAAGGCAGTGCCAAGGGTACAGTGATGGATTTCACGCGTATGCGAGAGAAAAGTATGTCAGTCCGAGAAAATTTTAAGAGCGCGACATTATCCTATATTGATACATAAACAAACCGAATGAGTTTTATTTTATTTCTAAAGTATAAAACCTTTAATCTTCCTTCGATTGATGAAAATAAAAATGTACTGAAGTGAAACAAAAAATAGAACGAGGACCCAATTTATCAACTTACCATCGTCTTTGTTTTATTTGTGCTTGTGTGAAAATATTCTTTTATTACGTATTTTCATTTTTTCTAAAGTGATATGAAACAATTTTTAATTTTCAAAATCATTTCTCACTTAGTTATCCTTTTTTATCTAAGGTGATAAAACCCAATTGCCCTAAACATTTCTGAAAAATATCTCGTTAGATATTGCACAAGAAAAAAATTAAATAGTCAAATACTAGCATTAAAATAATAATTGTTAAATTCTCCAATCAAATATTTCTTACTTCTAGAAATAAAAAATATCGAATGCTCATTTTTTTGTATCAATCTAGTTTTTTAGTTAAAATGTTTTTGTTATATCGATTCAATAAAATAGAATTTACGAAAAGTTAAATTCGATCAAAATTTCAACAGTAAATAGCTAATTTCGAGATTTATTGTATTAATATCGAATGTATATCCTATCGGTTTTTATGGATATCTCAATATTGTATATTTTACATTATTTTGCTAAGCTATTAAACATAGTAATAAATATTTATCATATTTTTGCATGAAAATTAATGAGGCTATACATTACTACCAAGCATAAGAATAATAAAGTAAAAAAATTAGTAAAATAAAGTAAAATAATAAACAACCACCCTAAAATAATCAAGAATGAATTAATGTTTAATTGCCTTTATATAATAATATATTTAATTTTAAACAAAATCATAAAGTTTCATTGCCGTTGGAACATTATTGAACATATAAATAAAGAAAATATTCCTACAAATTGCATGCATTACCACTTAAAATGTGTTACACTGTCATAGACCTTTTGGCATTGATCCAAAGCTCATCGTACTGCATGAAAGTCGTTTTAGTCGCTGTGCTTCGCCCTCTAAATGTCAAATGTAAAACCGTCCACCCGGTCATTCGACTTACAATATTGTTTTGGTTTTATGTTCAATATCAATGAAATTGTTCCTTTGGAATTCTTTGCTGTTTTCAAATCTTCACGATAACTTGACGGTAGAAAGTAGTCATTTTACATACCTTCCTTTTTTTGTAAAATATCTTTATATCGCTGTTACAAGAAAGTTACATAGCAAATATTTGAGCTTACAAATACTGTAACAATAGCACATGCGTTAAAGTGTCGTTAAATAAGTTATCCATGACTTAAATGGCAATTGAAAAGAGACTGTTGCACACCCCAATACGCGGTACAATGAGTGAAACGAGTAAATAATCGCGTTCGATAATCATATTAAAAATTATATTTCTAAATACACAATTTACAATTCGAATTTAATATAAAATTTACATATGTCTCGTATTGCCGAAACCACCATGTCCAGATTGGCTAGCACCTTTGTTGAAACCCATTTGAAGGTTCAGGTGACCTTCACTGGCGCGGAGCTGGTCTTCGGTAAAAGTTCTCTCATTCTTGTCAGCCATTTTAGGCCCCAGCCTTGGTCCTGCGTACTCTGGATGTTTCTGGGTCTATCAATAAAAATATTAACTTTATTAGAATGTTGTTGTGATAATTTCTAAAAAATCGTGATTAATACTGACAAGTCGTGCCAAAGAGTACAAGCAAAGGGTAACTTGAGGAATGTTCCTCCTCTCAAACAAATCAGCGGTTTGGAAAATTTCTTCTTCTGGCACTTCATACTTTTTAAGAGCTGCCTGGAACCTGTCAAATATTGAATTACTTAATAGTTTGCCAGATTATTATTGTGCGAATGAAAAAAGCTTTTGAAGTACCTTTGAATGTTCTCCATAAGTTGGAAATTGGTTCCTTTGGTCTGGATTTTTTTGACCGAACCTGGGGCAATCTTGTTGATCAAGTTGCAGAGAACAACTCCGTCTCTAAGGATGTCCTCATAGTTTCCAGGTGGTAGTTTCTCTCCAAGAACTGCTTCGATCCAGTCCATCACTTCTTTTTCTTGATCCTTGTTACGGGCCTGCAAAATTATGATAAAATTTGTTATATTTACGTTTCATCGAAATTATAAAACTTTATCGTTCAAAGATCATAATTCGACATTTTCGCTGGAAAATATTACTACGTCAAAAACTTAACTCAAAAATAGATCGTGACAGGAACTTCTGCGTTACTGGTATAAATATACTTCGAACGTAAATTATATTTGCTATAGACACTAAAAGCGTCCTATAGTGCTAACAAAATTTTAATGGAGAAATATTTTTTTAACAAAATTGAGTTGTATTCGCTACTTCGTAATTTATTGGTCTTGCGCTTAATTGATGGCTACGACGAAACAGCATCACGTATAATAATTTCATTTTGAAATCTCTAAAACCCCTTTAGATATTTGACGCAAGCTTTTTAGTAGAGACCAAAGTATTATTAAAAGTGACTATTTTTCAAGTTGTTTCAACTTTCTCAATACAAAGCTTTGGTATTTTTGAAAATCAAAAGCGTATAAAAAGCTAATGCTGTTTGATGTAAGCTCATCTCTGGCAATGGCGTGATCGACGATAACTTATTATTTATAGCCCGGAAAAAAAAAGAGCACGTAAGAAGTATTCGGGATAATGTGCATTACACTTATCGCGAATAATCTGTGGCTCACCTCGCCAACTGAATTGCTTACTCGCTAGTGATTATTTTGGGAAGTAAAGTTTCTTCGAGCACTAACAACAACCGACAAAACCGTTGATTGCAAAGACCCTCGATATAATCTATTTTCAGCAGCGACGCTAACAAAAACTCGACAATGAACCGCTCTTTAGTCTTGTGTACATTGTAGTCGGAAAATATTTGAAGTCAATATTTTCAAATGACACATTATTTTTAAACGTTGAATAGAGTTGGTTGCAGCTGTAATTATGATTTCGATTTCCGGATGATAAACGACTCTTTTGACATCAAACGATATTTCCGCCAGTTCCTAGAAGCCAGCCAGCCAGCAAGCAAGCAAGCAAGCAAGCAAGCAAGCAGGCGCAACTAGAAGTATGACTTAGCGCATGCATGGCAAGAGCTTCGGTAAATTTACAGTGAAGTTAGTCAAGTTCCAAATTCAGATTTGTCTTTAGGTGTACGCGCGATATTGGTTTCCAGTAACAGTTTTGGCAACCGATCAAAGTTATGCACCTGTGCCACGGCGCGCATTTTCAAGGTGCCGAGTTAATTTATGATCATCGGTGCACGAGCTACGAGCTATTATAGTTTTAATGTGTCTTTTAGTGAACAGTCTGTACAATTTGTCGGCGAGCAAACTCTAAGAGGCATTTTTAGCAAGAAATTGGCTGGATTTTTATAGATATTTTATCTTGAAAGTGTAATTAGAAAAATGAAAAACGATTATAGCAGAGTCTTATATAAATAAAGAACAGCGAGACTTCCGGTAAGATAGAAGGCATTTCAAAAATAGCCTTTCTCGGATATACGCTGGCTCCTCATCTCTAGATCAAAAACATCCAGCCAGTGTTAAGATCTAATGGTACTAGCCTCTAGTCCATTTTCCATGACTATTTTTAAAACTGTTAGATCCGTAAACACAGACGATGTTTTTACAGTGCATTCCCGTACATAAGTTTTTACGAGCTCAGGCGATATTATTGAGATAAAAAATCCTATAAAGCGTGTGGCCAAAACTGTTATAACGAATACTTCACTAGTGAAATGTGTATGCGAAGCTAACAATTAAAAATGAAACGTACCGGCATTTTGATTTGGTAGTGTTGTTGTTTGGTGTCGTTGGAAGAATGTGTCTCAGTGTACCGAGCAGTGCTTTTCGAAATAGAGTGAGGTTTACAAAAGGTGCTGCACGAGTGGAATAGTAACTAAGTCGAATGCCGGGAGTCGCGACGCTATATGGCGTTCTCCCCTCCTAAACTCCCATCCTAGTGATCTTCAACTACCAGATTTCTCTCTCCTTGGCACCTTGCCCGTCGGGTATTCCCACACCCCCGCATTGCCTTCTCTCTTCCTCGTTGCTTCTAGCTCTTTCTTTTTATTTTCATCCTCATTTGCCTCCAGACCCTAACCCTCTCCCTACATCATTAGCCTCGCCCCCTCCTAAAATGCTATAATTATTTTTCTGCTTTGCTCGATAAACGAAAATACCGAACGATGTTTTTACCACGTGCTTTTTGCATTTTCTTAGCGATATTGTGTTTCATGAGCCTCCAGGGAATTTATTTTTATAGCATCACAAATGCCGAGTAAAACAACCTAATTTTATTAAGCATACTCCATGTTTCCGTTGATCAACAGTACATATTTTCTCATTCGTGATTTTATTCGTGAAGATATACGTTTCTTTCAAATTCATCGTTTATACGTGATATCAGTTTTTTCATAATTATTAAAATTAAATTAACTGATTTGTTCAATTCAACAAAAATTAATGCAGTAATTCATCTTAAAAAATATTTATGTAAGCTAAAGCCGTTCGTATTCTAGTTATGCGGTTGAATTAACTTTTAAATTGAAATAATAGAGACATAAAAAAGCGCGAGTACGCTTGTAAAAAATTTTAATTGGTCGTTGGTGTATAAAGTCTGTCAGAATAATCGTTGCTCACGCAAAAAGATTCGCCAGCATTGAAAATAGACGGCTAGTAAAGATGTTATAAAGAACACGCGCGTCATCGTGCGAATAGTAAACTCGACTAGAATACAAGCAAAATAAACAAGTGGGTGTATTGCTCGTGTATTATTATAATATTTTTTCTCTTCGCGAGGGCTGCGACTGAAAGACGCTATCGAGGCGATGGAAATTCGCCAGATGAGCGTCGATAGACTCGTACACGTACACTGTCTGAGTGCACCGTAATTTCTGGATACTGGCCATTTTTAAATGTGATGCCACAGCCAATTTTAGACTTCGTCAATCATCGCGCTTCCAAGTTTGTCGCGGAAAGACGGATGAATCGTGTTAATACATACGTAAATCTCATAATTTCCGATTTCCTAACAACTTTTCTATCGTTCAAGTTTTAAAGAATTGCTGTATATCTGATATGAACAACAATAAATAATACTTTACTAATAATGAGAAAAGCTATTTAAATAGTTTGAGCATTTATTTTGTTTCTCAAAAATCAAAGATGAATATAATTTGACCTTTGCGCTCGACTCGGACTATTTAAATATGGCGGGATTATCAGCAGCGCTCTTGCTAGTTCGTACACTCGCCGCTATGTGGAATACAGATTTTCCCTACCTATAAGAGGAATATGGTGCTGTGGCTATAAGTATAAGCATTAAAACCAATATCTTTAGCTTTGCGCAGTGGCGATATCGTAACCAATGAGGTTCTACCGAGGTGCGATTATTGCTAGTTGAAAACTTTTACCAATACCCCGCCGAGACGATGTGAAATACCATCGGCTAAGGCAATTTTTGAAAGTTTCTACGGAAACTGATAATAAAATTCAAAGTGAAATTATTACTTTTACAATTAGAGAAGTTTAATCAATGAATTTTTTTCAGTTACATATTCTAAAATTCAACAAAAATTATTAAAGAGAATAAAATAATTATTTAAAGTATGGAAAGTTACTTTGTTTTTTAAAAAAGAAATGAATGACAGTTTGAATCATTATAATTACTTATATAAAACTGTAGTCATACAGAATTATTTCTTTGAATAATTTTTGTACGTGAAAAATAATTGGAATAGTAAAATATTTATTCAGTAGTTTCAAATTTCACAATCAAAAGTCTAGCCTCGGTATTCAAAATAATAATAAAATAGAGAAAAAATTTGTAGAGAGATCTCTGACATCTGATTTATACATTATGACAATAAAGTAGAAGCTAAAAGTCTTTTTTTTATATAAATCTGGTGCCACGAGGCAGCCACATTTGATACTGTAGTTATTTTTGCAGGAAGTTTTTTTTGTTGCGTAACCATAAAGTTGGAAATGTTCCGATGGCCTAGTATTGACCTCAGAAGCAACTTTTTAAAAAACTATTTTTTAACTTGATGACATTGTAAACAACATTCTAAATTTATCAAATCAACTTACCATAAAAAGTGTTTGGCAAAACTACCACGGAAATAATATAAACATATATTTTATTTCATACGAGTAAGCCTTTTTGAATCAATGCAAATAGTTGAAACAAAACTATTGCACTAATTCTCTTTGACAGCCGTAATAACCAATACATGTTTTATAACTATCACAAATTTGCGTACTTAAAAAATAGCAAGCGCTAATATTTCTTTTTGATATATTCTAATTAATTCAAAATCGTATAAATTTAGACTATTTACTAAGTGCGCGCTTGAGCGCACGTAGATTCATATTTCTAAAATTAAACACGTACAAGTCTGAAAAATGATTAAAAATATGAATAGATCTTTTATGCGACAATGAAAATATACGGTAATGTACTTTTGTTTATATTATTTTTGAATTGCTATATATTCTACAAAAGTATTTTTTTCATTTGTAAAGATAGCAGTTAATTAATATTCTTAGAAAATTGATATGCTTGTGAAATGGATTTTCGTCAGATGTTTTTCGAAAAATAATATAAAACAAATATTTACTATCATAACAGTCATGATATTGACCACGAATTTCCTAACAATGAAGTGTCCTCCACGCTGAGATTATTATGTTTTCTATTTTAAATTAAGATACAAAAAATATAAATATACTTTAACAAATAAGTTAGTTGCTAAAAAGTGAGTAGGATAGAAATATCATAAAAGAATGTTTTCCATTCTTTATCGATTCAGGATAAAGAATTATTGAAACGTATATACGGAAAAAACATCATATTACTGTTTATTAATTAATAAAAAATACATGAAATGCAAATTAATAATACCGTACCATTTTTATTTCACAAACAATATTTGGGATTAGTAGCGATCTAATATTTTATTGCAAATAAAATTGGATCAAAGTTTATTACTATTATGTATTTAGTTCTTTATAACAGCGCGTTTATGAATTTTTTTATCTGTTGATCCTTTTGAGCAAATTTAATTAAAAAATAAAAAGAAATAAAAAGCGAAAGTTTTGACGAGGTTTTGAAATTATCCTTATCAAGGCTATTCAACATTTAAGTTTTGTCTGTTTGATGTCTTTGTGATACCTGTGCGCTATAATAAACTAGTAATTTTCAATTAGTAAAATCATTTAATTCATCTTATTAATAGCCTTGATATGGGTGATCGCAAAGCTTCATCGAAACATTGGCTTTTTTATTGCTTATTATTTTTGAATAAAATTTGCGCAAAGGATCTACAGATGAAAGAATTTTATTTGATTAACCTTAACTGCTTATTATAAAAGTTTATTACATTGTTTAATAAAGATTTTTATTTGGAATAATTTGGCAGGTTGCTGGAAAACGGGAACCAGAGCAGGAGGCCGAAGCACAGCAATGGGTCGAGACGGTCATTGGCTACAGATTCCCACCTGGTGAGTGAATACTTAAAGCAGCACAAGACATCCGAAATGTATACCGACTGCCATATCGATTCTATACTCTCATGTCGAGGAGGGGTGAAACCCCTCGTCTATCGGAAATAAAACTGCTCGTCTAACATATGAAACCCTGTTATATGGAGGCAACGAAGGGTTGCAAGTCCAGACTTTTATCGTCTAAAATTACAGTAACACAAATAAATACTGAGCAGCTGCGTTAACACTTGGAGTTTCTAAAAAAAGACCTCGAGTTCAGGTTTATAGTCGAGTTGTGGTTCATTTGGAGATACATAGACTGCATCAGCCATATAGTCAATTATTATTAACCAACAAATTCCGTCAGATTCTATTTATAAGCAAAATATTCATATTTGCGTTTAAAGTAAGCTAGCCTTTCTAATGCTTTATACGTTTGAAAGAGACTCTGTGAAATTAAATTAAAAGAAAAATTCGAAAAAAATAGAAACCGAAATCTGCAACGTAGAATGTGTCAAAAAGTTAGAAAAATTCAACGATAGGAAAGTGTAGGGCGTCCTATAAATTCCTGATCATGAAAAGTGGACAAGATCAGCAAGCGTTTTTCAAGACATTCGTCACCCCCGCGTACAGCTCTCCCTGGCGCACTGGCCGCGTTCTATAAATGTAAACCAGTGAACGGTGAGCACTGGGGCGTGGCACGACCGGCGGGGAGGCGGGTGGTTTTATTTATCGATCGGTCCTGTCAGTCTAACTCCGGCGCTGGTATACTCGCCGGATCCCGACGTCGGAGCGCGTGACGTCGAAAAGGTTAAATTTCTTCGCTAGGTCAGTAATTGACGTCGCGAACAACGTCGACGTCGAGCACGACAAACGCAGAACGCGCCGGACGTTACTAACCCCGAGTATTTGGTCGGCATGCGGCGCGCAGGGCCGCGCAGACTTGTGTCGGAGCGAGTTTGCGCGTGGCAACAACGCGGAACGACGTAAGACGCCGACGCCGATGCCGACGACGTCCGTACGGACGTCGTCGAGGGGCTCTTGGCGGCTCTTGCTCCCCTGGCAAAAGGCGCGCTCCGTTACGTCACAGCGCGCGCGGGAGCAAGCCGAGAGAGCAGTGCGGCCACCCCTCGCGAGCAGTCGAGTCGAGTGGCGCCGCGCCGTCTGGCTTAGTACCCCCAACTACCCCCTGCAGCGTACATGCGACCCTGGTGTGGGAAATACGCCGGGCATCGACGCAATCGCCTTTGCGCCTTTCTCGCGATCCGCTTATTTCCTAATGTGCGAGTCCGATGTGCTAGGTGTCGTTGCTGCCCCTGGCCATCGAAAAATGACTACACATTTGAAATCGCTTTGCTCTTAACATCTTTGTTCTCGTGAAGAAAACTCAGCTTCGGACGTCGAAAGGAAGGAGACGATGTGCCATTTCAGTCCGAAAAAAAGTGGTCGAATAGGAATAATATAATGGAACGCGATCGTGCAACATGGTGAATGTGTCGATGGTTGGCGGCACCGCGCAAACTGGCTTGTACCACTGTAGAGGAGCCAGGCGCGCGCGCGGTCGCACCCGTAGCTCCCTCTCGGCGTCTCTTGCTCGACCATGCACGCGCCACGGCCACGCACTCCAAGACTTTTGCCGTTAAATGCGCTTAAGTATAATGAGCCTCCACCTTTGGACTGGCAGCCTGGTGGCCTCGAGGACGCGATGGAGGTGGCCAAAGGCGGCTCTACCCGGCCACCCCCACTTATCTGTTCAACTCCCTCTATTCTGTCTCACATTCGTGTCTCTGCATCGATGGGCGGGGAGGAGCGTTGCACAGAGAGCTCTGCCGCGCCGCGCGCGCTTTCACGGAAAAGCTCTCGCGGCTAAGTAAGCGCCTGGTCTTTCTGGATCGAGGGCGCACCTGTCGAGAGCCACACCGGCACCTTCTATCATTTTCTCGGCTTCCGACCGGCGTTTCTTCGCCATTGTTTTCATTGTACCGCTTCAACGATTTTTTCTGAACGGAAGTTACTTGCTTGGTTGATAATTATCCAGAATTTCAAGCGTCAATTCAAATTAATTTCACCATTATTATCTGCATCTTGTACTATGCGAAACATAAAGTACCCGTCGCTTGGGTAAGCCAGCATAAGATTTTCTTCAATAATTCGTTGCGAGGGTAATCAATTCATAAAAGTAATGATGCAGAGCAGGTGCGACATTTCAATAGGATTTCGAAGTATTGCACGACGCAGCAACCGGGTAGCCGATTCCGAGGAATATGTATGTATCGGGAAAGCGCGGTGCAGCCACGAACGAACGTAGGAAGAGTGGAAAGCTCGTGGACTAGAGCAAAAATAAAAAAAAGAAGAGGGAAAACTCGGTGGCGTTGCTTGCGCGCGTTCTGTTCGCCTGTTCCCGCGACTAGGAATCGTCTTGGGTGCCCCTCGTCTAGGCGATCGAAAGTGAAAGTGAGCGAGCTTGCGACATGGCTACTCGCCGGATAACCGGTGCTTTTGATGTTACTTGCCCGTTTTAAACTCTGAAACTCTGCACCGCCACGTGTTTCAAAGCTCGCGCATTCCAATGCGGTGGGCTCGGGAGCGCGCGCGAGCTTGCGACTCACATGAGCGCCTGATCGTGGAAGCTTGCGAGGCATGCCAGGCACGATCCTTACCGCACGACTTGCGAATGGCAAGTAGCTCGATGCCTCGCCGCTAAGGTGCTACCGACATATCCACGCATGGCAGAAGCGAGTGTCTGTGCTAACGGCTGACCATGTCGATTCTGTATCACTTGCAGTGATCGTTCGAACAAAAAAGCTCGTGTTTCTCTTCGCGTAAACTCCGTGCTGCGACGCAGTACTCGCAAACTTCTTTCAACATAATTGTCAGCGGAGCACAGCGGTCAGTTATTTTCGTAAGCCGCGAGCCGTTTGCCAGTAGCCAAGAGATATAATTACTGGTCACGATAGGGCCAGCGCTGGTCAGAAGGCTATGTTTACTGATCGGCATCGATTTGCCGTCAAGTGCTCATCACGCGATGTCGCAGGGACGCCAAGTGATCAGGGTCACATGCTGAGCAATTGTACGGTCGAAGCGCGACCTTTACACCAGGTGCACTGGCGACGAGTCGCGCCAACCAGCCAAACGTCACTCAACTGTCTGTCACGAGGGCGCGAGACGGGCCAAAGCACCAGGGCAACAGCAGACAGTTGAGGGATTTATGGAGGGTGCGAGAGCCCGCCACTGTCGAGCCGAAGTAAACTAAAGAGAGAGAGAGAGAGAGAGAGAGAGAGAGAGAGAGAGAGAGAGAGAGAGAGAGCACGTGCGCGCGCGCGCAAGAGAGAGAGAAGGCTTGACGACATCCGATCAATGAACCGCGCAAGCGTTCTTCGCCTAACTTTTTTCTCGTTACAGAGCTTGTAACGGAAGTGTCTAACGATGCTTTTGATATGTTTTTACTAGATCTATAAGCTTCCTAAGTGATTAGTTTGTTTCTTGCTTTGAGATCTTCTATTAAAATAAAAAATATTTTTGTCAATGACAAAAGTATATTATTAATGAAGACATAGGCATAATAATAATTTGACTGATTCAAGTGGGTTAATGAATTAGCAGTCAAATGTAAATGTTTGTAATAATGCTTGCATTAATTGATCTTGATATGTCAATTCAAGCATACATACTATTCCTCATATCAGTTTAGGATCGAAATACAAATCGATCAATCGATTATCGATAAATTTTTGATAATTTGATAATTCAATGCATTATTATCAAAAAACGAAAAATTCAAATACATCCTGTACAGAAACATAACAATTTATATGATGAGCGCTGATTCTCGTAGAGCGTAGATGCATATGCGCGATACGCTATTGTTTACGTAACACCGCCATTTTCGAGCTTGCAAGCGTTTCACTCAGGCAGAGAGGAGAGCAGCTCGTCAGGCGCCGTCACGGAAGCTTGAGTGTATTAGGAAAACAAGCATCAGGCGTTGGATGAATTGACGGCCATTGCGCGGGTGCGCGCGCACGTGCGCTTGCATGCACAGCCCTGCTACCCTGTAGTTTCCCGTCGAGCGTTCCCCGTCATTTTTGCAAAACAAACAAAAACTGAAGCAACGCGTTTTTCTTAGCGCGAGGCCCTTCTTATAGCCTCGGCTCGTCGATTCCTTGCGCAGGCACGACGATTTCCGATCGGCCGAGGTTGAGGCTAGCCTGTCAAAAGTTCGTCAATGACGTCACCCCGAGACAAGCCTACCAGGATTACAGCCCCGAGGCAGATTTACGAGATGTGCGCAACAAGTGGCTTTCCCACGATACGTCCCACCAACTCGTCGCGCCGTCGCAGTGCCACACGGCTATGTTCCTCGCCATGTGTGCCATCGATAATGTTGAATGTGCTTTCGACACAGATTCTTTTAATCGATATGAATAATATATTTAAATTGAAAACTTACTATTTATTGAGATTAGTTGCAAAGTTAAGGAGTATTGAATCTCCAATTGATTACAAATCATAAAAATAAAGTACACTTGAGATAGGGAGAATAACTTTAATTATAATTCGATTATTCGGGGCGTTAAAGCTTATGTCATTGAAATTATTCACAAGAAGAAAGCAACAGCATTAACTCGAATTTAATGAAGCTGCAGCAATGCTTAATGGATTTAAATGCAATGTCTTCATACTTTTGCAAAATTCCGATTGATATGTTTCCATTGATGATATTTATATGAACGAGTACCTCTCGACGATAATTATTCCGTGTTCTGACTAGTAATCCTCGAAATTGAAGAAGTTCTGCTCTCAATTGTACGCAGTGAGAGCCGATTGAACATCTCGTTCTCGACATCGAATGTATAGCAAAGCACAAGTGCAAAATACGAAACAGGAGCCACAGCATCGCAGGAGCAACGAGCGGAGCCTGCGCAGAGAGCAAAGGAGGCGTGGACGTCGAGCTATATAGAATTCAGGAGGACGTACATTCCCGCGAGACCTGTTGCTCTTGATTTCCCCTACCCTCGCGACCGGTGGCCGATCGTAAATTCGAGCGCAGGATGTTGTCCTGGTGAAAATCTTGCCTTTGACGTCTTTATGACGCGCCACTGACATTTAATCGATAAGCGAGGCACGCGCCTGTCTCCCGCGCTCGGCGCACGCGCCTCCGCCGGGCGCGGAGCTTTCCACGTCCGCGCGGCTTTCGCGAAAACCTCCGCGCTTCTGCAGTTCGTCGGCCTTTTTTCTAATTCTTTTTCGATCTAGAATAATAACTCGTAACGGTGCGCGATCGCAACTGCGCAACGGCATAACTCGATCCATTGAATATTAACTTGCATATTCGAATGACGAAGATCTTATGCTCCGTCGGAAATCGTGCTGTGAATCTTGCGAAATAATCGACGCCACTTGACGAAGCGCCAAACGTCAGATTATATTTAATTTGTCCAATTGATTTTCGCTAGGTCTATCGAGTCGATTAGTCGCAAGAGCGAAACGTTTTCTTGTTTCACTACGCACCCTCGAGGTCTAACTACTGAAGCTTTACTCAGAATCAGTATAAAATTAGCGATGGATTCAAAGAAAAAAGTGACAGGACAGTATTAGAAATCAACGATATCCAAACAAAGTGTCGAATATCGCCAAGTTGATCCGTTTGAGTTCAATCGCCGCGGCGACGTGTCACCGTAGCAGGAAATCATATATTGGCTCTCAGCGTTCGATGGCTTTCGCATATTTTGTCCATATACGTTATACACACATATGCATATAGAGATACTGAACGAAAGAGAGTGGGATAGAGAGAGAGAGAGAGAGAGAGAGAGAGAGAGAGAGAAGAAAAAGTATAGAGTAGAGTTACATATATCGATAGGTTGGAGTGCGTCTGAAAAATATCCGGGTAGCATATGACTGATCACGCTGTGTGTCGATGGCCATGAGAACCGATCGCGTAAGACATCTTCGAAGACGCAGCGGCACCGATTTCCTGTCACCTCTTTGCGTTTACGACATCTCACGGAGGCCCCAAACTATCAGGGACGTATCCGCAGCCGCATTCGTCGGCTCTCTCTCTCTCTCATCACCCCATAGCTGTGGTCTGCTGCACCGATTAAAAAAAGCCGAGTGCTGCGCCCCTTCTATTCGCCTGGTCATCGGGCCAAACACTTTTCCCAATCTCGCGGGTGTATGAATTTTTTTTTTCTTTCTAAAACAGGACAGTCAGTCGCGCGTTCGAGCTTGCAAGCGCGCTGCGAGAACTCGCTCGCTGCGAGCTTTTAGTTACACAGCGTATCGCGCGAGAGTTTCGCGGAGAGTATGGGAGCCTGGTAAGTGAGGAGACTGGGGGAGTCCCTAGGGATAAGTTTGTCTCTCGCCAAAGAGAATTCGACTTTTCGCGCGCGACACGGATATTGAGAGCTGGCGAGCGACAGAGAGGACAATGCAAAACGATGCAATCGGACGCGCACCTTGTCCCTCTTGGCCAACTCTCTTGCTCTCGCGTTGCACAACGACCGCACACATCATAGTCTCCTAAACGCGCAATAGTGACCTAAAATAACTATGATTTACTAGAATCCGAAACTAACAGCGATCGTCAATTCTATTACTCCCAAGAGAATCAAACGAGAAAAATTCAACGACACGTTTGCTCGCGATTGTGCGACCCCAAGGGATAAGGTACGTGTACATTACAGGCGAGGTTAGGTTTCAATCGGCTGTCGATAGCTCGTCAATCGAGAATCCAGGCGCACGACCAGTTTTTTACCAGGCGAGCAGATAGCGCAGGCAGTTTCAGGCGCAAAACCGCGTTCGCGCCCACGGGAAAGAGAGCAGACTAAGAGACGAGCAGCAGCAAGCTCCCGCTGCGGCAAATTCGCATGGCACAACTATAACCAGGCCGAAACCACGTGACGTCGCGTCCTCGCAGGATCAGGCTGGCAGTTTTGCGAGCAACTCCACTTCCTGCAACTGACACTTTTGGTATCAATGTCCTTTGCCAAAAATCTCGGAAATGCTATCTCTGACAGTCGCGCGACATCACACTTTTGCGTTCGAGTAAAGTTGAGTGAGTATCGCTTCAAGCGTTGAGACCTCACCTTGACCAGACAGCGCTTGCATTTATTACACTGACGCAGTTGTAAGTAAATGCTCTAACGTACACTTTGTAACGTATACGTACATCATTCTTTCAGTCATAAAAGCATTGTATCGTATAGCCAGTAATGCGTAATTCAAGCAGGTTAGACAATCTCTCTGTAGCCATGCTCCTCATATTTGCGCAATTTTACATCGTGAGATACTTGTAGTCTCAATAACGTAAAGCTATTCGAGCTTCGAGTGAAGTTTTCAATTCAAACTTAAATACTTCGCTCACCGAAACGTTACGCGTACGAGTAACTTTCGTTCAATTTGAACTCGCTTAAGATAAGACTGATCATAGTCAAGACAGCTACCTTCTTTGCGCATGACTAATGGGAAAGAAAGGAGGAATTTTACGAACGACGCTTCTTTCGCTGCCAACAAATTCAAGCCGAACTCGATGACACCCACGAGATATGAGCGCCTGATGCTAGAGTCGCACGTATCCAGCGTCCACCGTGCATTCCGCGCACAGCTCTGTTTGGCCCTGCGCAGTAACGCTCGCTGTATATCAGAGAAGGACTCGCAAAAAACGCGCCCGATAAAAGCTCTTGCTCGCTCCCTCGGTGGCCATTCGATACAGTTGACTTTCGGCCGGTTCTCGATTTCCCCATTCTCTCTCTCTCTCTCTCCCAGCATCCGCATACAAACACATACGTAATCGTGTATAGAGTCGCACTGACACAAGCTCTGAGCGAAAGAGAGAGAGAGAGAGAGAGAGAGAGAGAGAGAGTGAGAGAGAACTTGCGCGGAAGCACGGAGGGTGGCGTGCGACGTTTTAAAAAAAGGGTGGCGCGTTGGTTCGTAGGCGGCGGTGTAGCGCGTTTAGCCTCCTGTGCAATGCTGCAGGCCTGGCAACTCGAGATGCGACTCGTCTTCGCGCGAAGACGGCCCAAGGAAGGGTCCTTTCGTGACAGACGGATAAAAAATGCGCTGCCCCCTTGGCGAGCCTCTTGGCCTAGCGGGACGCCATGAGTGCGTGCTGGTGTACGAACTACCCATCCGCGAGCAACCTATTGCTGCCGCTGCTGCACGCTACACGGCTCTGCAAAAGCTCGAGAGAGCGAGGAAAAAAGTGCGCGCGTGCTCTCTCGTTCTCTCTCTCTCTCTCTCTCTCTCTCTCTCTCTCTCTCTATCTCTCTCTTTCTAGCCCGCTTGCTCGCTCTTGCTCGTGACAATGGCGGATCATCGGTAAAAGCGAGAGAGAAAGCGAGCGAGGGCGGCGCCTTGGCGTAGCCTGCGGAAAAAGGATGGATGAGCGCGCATTTGAATGAGCCAACGTTATGCCATTGGTCAGCTTGCGCTGCCGCACATACACATGTGCAGGCAATCAAATCGATAGCTTATTCTGGAAGTCAAATGTTTTTACGTATACTTACCAATACGAAAGGACTACGAGTTTCATATCATTTTGAGCTTTCGAGTAGAAGTCGTAACAATTGAGAGCTTTTATCCTTTTTTCAATTGTTGTTATGCATTAGACAGGATAGCGTGTGACTTTCTAATTTGAGATTGATTATGATTAATCCTGTAAATTTTTTATTCGCTGAATCTGAGAGGTCAACTTGTCTCCACATGAACGTAGTGTAAACATTTTTTGAATCCACTTTCATTTACTTAATTGTACGATCAGCGTTAAAAATTATGGAAAACGAAATTCAGTTTTTGTATGACATTTCAAACACTTACGTTGTACAGTACAAAATAAAAATTTTATTTATAATGTGGTTATTACAGGTGTCAGCTACGAAGATGCTCTGAGGGACGGTGTGATCCTTTGCATGTTAATGAACAAACTTCAGCCAGGTCTCGTTCCCAAAATCAATACCTCCGGCGGTGACTACAAGATGATGGATAATCTCAACCAGTAAGAACTTTTTATGTTCTAATTCCTAACTACCCTTGCCTTTCGAACCCTTAACATTCGCCGAAAGTAATGAAACTTTAAAAAAATTAATAATTTAATATCGAAAAATTGACGATAAAACTTTAAAAACTACGTTAAAATATTCAAATGATAGAGTATACACAGTGTTTAATTTAGCCATGCAATAGAGCGAGCGCAGAGCTCTTGCTCATTCCTCGGCTCCTAGTCACCAGTCGGCTTTACGCAATCGACAGTATTTTGTGTCGGGGCCAATCGGAATTTCGGGAGCGCGCGAAAAAGCACGTGGCAGAGGCCACTTGATTGCTCTTTTATTATCGTGACAACCTGATAACCGAGCGCTCTCGGCGTCTAAGTTCGAGACGTTCATCGTAAAAGGAGCCAGGCTTATCTTTGTTTTTTTTTGTTTTTTTTTGCCTCCTCACTCTCTTCCTTTTTCTTGCGTCGGGTTTCATTTATCGATTGGCGAATAACGTCGAAACATCGTGACGTTGTAAGGGTGGATTTGGGCTATAATGGAAGCTCTGATGTGACGTCAGTTGTAGATTGTTATCATTCGTGGAGGTGATTGGAAATAATTACTATTGATTTTCATTCGAAGTATTGTACTTTAGATTCAGGCATTGTATTTATCGTGGCACACGATACGCGATGCATGAATTGTACCGCCATTTCAATGGTTCAATGATGACTATCTTTGTTGTCATTCCGCACAGAGTAATGAAAAATGTTCAATTAAATATCTGATTGTAACAAACATTGATTGCACAGTGTATCTCACGAAATGCCACATAAGTCAAAGGTGATCCGAGAGAAGATAAAAAAGAAGTTTCTCGTAGACAATGATTCAGAATCTATAGACCCATATAAATCATCAAAACGCTTTAGCGCAGTGCTACGATCCTGATGAAATATTTGCATGCGAGGAGGTAAAACTGTCATCGCGCGGTCGGCCGCGCGCAAACTACGCACTACTACTATTATGCTACGCACATGCGGATCGCATCGAGCTTCGTATGTACAAGAAGGAACTTTGAAGTTGAGTCGGTCTTTCTATGCACGTTACAAAGGGCACCGTCGAGGGAGTCCAGGCAGGCGGAAATTTTTGTAAATTATAAAGCTTCGGAGCTTGTAAAACGTTTCCAGCCGTCACCGCGCGTGCATACACACGAGCACACGCGCACTACGCACACGTTGCGTCACGAAAAATCTGTAACGTTTGTTATAAACAGTCCAGCTACCTCCTGCTCTTTTCTATTTCCTGACTGCGTATAAACAATTTTCGCGAGTTTTCCGCTCTCGCAAAATCCATCCGTCGGCGACTTTGCGTTTCTCGATTTTTTTTGTAAACGCCACGATCACAGCGCAGCCGCGTGCGCATGTACTCTCCGGCATTGCAAGAGCGGGCTTTTCCTTGAAATTTTAAGTATACGTATATTCACAGTGGGAGAGAGAGAGAGAAGTAAGGTAGTGGGGAAAATGATGCGCAGCGCGGCCACTCCGCACTACTCCCTTTCTACCGGAGACTCATGAGTCACGAGGAGGCCGACAATCGCACGCCTGTGCACGCCAACGCGCGCAAAGACACGCACACACTCTATGACCGCGAGTATCGGCGCGCGCGCGCCTTCGTGCGAGTAAAAGGTACATGACTACTGATGTCGCTTCATGATCCTCTGTTCGATGGTGGAGCAGTGAGCACTGGTCTGACTCGGGTACCGCGCATCCTGTCCACTGCGCTTGCTTGTGGGCACGCGCACCAAATCCAACCGAGTGCGCGACGCGCCTCCTCATTTATACTTTCGTGGCGCTCGCTTCACTTCGCTTTACGTCTATGGCTGCCTACACGTTCTGATGCCGACTGAACGATCTGCTTGCTCTATCAGGTTAAGTGCTGCAAGTGCGTGTCGTTTGCTCAACTTCGATCAACCTGAGCTTTTCGGAATGCTGCAACTCTCGTCGGTTTGCCATTGGTTTTAGCGCGCTATCACGCGCTCTGTTTTCGAAGTTTTGCAAGTTTTTTTGCTGCTTGCGATTTGTTTTACAACATTCTTTCGCGAATCTTTTATTTTTCAAGAACACGATGAACAAACAAAATATACTAGTTTTAATAATAATATATACACCACAATATCACTTACCTGGACTACTCAATCAATACAATAAAATTTGTAACCGGAAAAAAAGTTTTTCAGTAGTAAGAGGCAGTTTAGTCAGACGGGCCAAACAATCCCTAAAAATTTCAATTTTAACAGATACCATTGATAACATTATAGGATTTCTGTGAAATAATATTCGATTCGTAGTTTCACAAAGAATTTAAAAAACATAGTTAAAGGTCAAAAAATCAACTGCCCTAGTTGCGTACACATAGCACGCTGCAGTTTGGTGCTCATATGCGACAGACGCGCTGCTCATTGGGAGACCAGGAACTTGAGCAGCTGGTTGCGCATTCCACCGCGACGACGTGACTCTCCGTTCGTCTCTATAACGTATCTCTCTTTCTCTCTCTCTCTCTCTCTCTCTCTCTCTTGCACACATACACCGACGCTCATTCATCGCCACAGTCTATTCGCAAAAGTAGAGCGCGCATACTTGAACTTGAAATGTTGTCGAGGACAATTTTTCCGAATAGACTCCGATATAATTATAAAAATTGGTAAAAGCAATATAATTTAGTGCAAATTTTATAGAGAAAATAAACTTTACAGACTCAGTGTCGATGATTTATCAGGCTCGGAGCTGGTGGCTATTTGCACAAACATTTTATTTTTAAACGTAATACTTATAAGCCAGTAATTTAACCTTTTTCTTATACTTTCTTTAAATCAAGTAGAAAAAAAAATATTTTTCGATTAATAAATAATAATAAAATTAATCGTAGAGCAGCCCAACATAGTGAGAAGCCCGTCGATTCAAAATCAATGTCGTCGTTGTAATTGCAGGGCACTTAATTCAAATGAAATTGCACGAAAAAATCGATTAGCCAACAAATAAACAAGTCAATAAATAATTATTGACTATAATAATTGTGGAAAAGCAAGCGATCGACGAGGTCTATTCCATTATCTGCACTCGAAAAGCCGCGCGCGCAGCAGCTTGATCAGCACCACATTAGCTGAAACAAGCGACCGCAGCAGCCTCCGCTAGTTGCCTCCCCTCGACTGCTCTTCTGTCGCCGAGTTAATTGCTGTTCCCCTCCTTCTCTCTGTCTCACTTGCAAAAAATTAAAAGCTTGATTGCAGATACCTCACTGGCATTTCTGTGCTCCTGCTTTGGCGGCACACTCGGCGCGTCATTTGTGCCGCGTCCTCAGCAGTAGCAGCGGCGGTAATAGGCAGCTCGCGGGCGCGTTAATTAGTAGCCCTCGCTGATTAACGCTGAGACAATGGGGAGGCTCGACTAAGCGAGTTCAAGCACTCGGCTAACAGCTCACCGCAAGAGCTCTTTTGTTTCCGGTTTTTCTCTCTCTCTCTCTCTCTCTCTCTCTCACTCCCTGTAATTTAAAGAGAGAGAGTAACCCCTTTTCATTACTCCCACGCGCTCATTTAACCCTACGCGGAGCACAGAACTGGGGGCAGATCTACCGCTACTGTAAACTTCTCTCTTTGCTGCTTTTAATTAGCTGAGCTACTCACTCGTGGATATCAGGCGGCAAGCGATCGTTCCCGCGCTGTACTCTCTCCATGCGCTCAACCCAACACAAGCAAAAGCTTCGTGCTAATTGCTTCGAGGAACTCTTTCTCTCAAGATACGCGTATACCTATACACACTTGAAGCACTGACGAGATATCGGGCGCTGCTGCTGATTTTCCCCCGTTTGCCTTCACACCCGTGTTCCGCATTCTTAATCGACTCATTTGAATATGGATAAGATCGGGATATACCATGGTACTGCAATCGAATTTATGTACAATGCTGTACAGTCAATTTACATGAGACGAATGTTTCGTGCTTAACTGATGTGAATAAATTGAAATTTATCATTATAGGTTCCAGAAAGCTTGCATCCGTTACGGAGTACCTGAAATTGATCTCTTCCAAGCCGTCGACTTGATCGAACGCAAAAACATCGCTCAGGTCACAAACACCATCTTCGCCATCGGGCGCACAGTAAGCTCAAGCTATACATAACTTCGGCAAATCAAATGAGCAATCTAATACAATCAACCATGATCTTTCAGACATACAGACATCCGGAATGGCGTGGACCATGGCTGGGACCCCGACCATCGGAGGAACACAAAAGATATTTCTCCGAAGACGTGTTAAGAGCCGGTGAGGGTGTAATCGGTCTGCAGGCTGGTAGCAATAAAGGTGCTACCCAGTCAGGCCAAAACTTCGGTGCCTCTAGGAAAATCATTTTCGGAAAGTAAATCTGTCGCGGCAGATTCTGCTACCTACTATGCAATACACTTGTACATCGTTCTGCCTTTATTATTTATCTTTAGCGATCAATTTGTGTAGTATAGCTAGATTGTTATTTGAAAACTCACTGTACAGTTTATTTGTCTTTTTATTAACACTGCAATATCCGTATGCACGCACACTTTTGTTTGTTACATTCTAACCTGCGAAGATGACGGTTTTTTTTATAGTGTGAGATAAAAATGTCGTTCTTGCGTCGTGAATACATAACTCGAATAAATTATACAATTTAATGTTTACATCTTCACTTGTGTTTATCGCCAAAAGAAAACCATTCTCAAAATGTCGGATCCGTCGTCTTACCAAAGTGGCCTATTACTACTTAAAATTTGAACGTGGTACACGTATCCTTTATTTAATCAGACTTGAGATATACTCTGTATCTTATAATTAATTCTTTGGAGACTAAACTTCGGCATAGTAGTGGAAAATACAACCAAACCCGTAAAAAAAAATCATTAGAAATTAATCGATCAGAACAGCATGAGAAAAAAAATTCTCTTCGGGTGTAGTGCGTCTTGAGTCTCCCCTGTTGTATGTACACAAGCGACCGAACCCAGTATCCGCACATAGCATTAATACGCTACACACGGAAAGAGCAACGACAGGCAGGCACAGAGTAGACCGTCAACACACGTGCGCGCATACAGAGAATCGTATGTAGAAAGGCTTATGTGTGCGTTGTCAGTGATAGCAAGTAAGCACGTAGGCGTGACGTGTACGTACACGCATTACACGCATTCCTTGACCGGTTTCTACACCGCCAAGCTCCCCGAGGATCAGGCAAGCATCCTAAACCAGTAGCTCTTTTCTTCTCTCCTTCTCTCTCGCTCTCGTACGTTCACTCTCGAGACACGCACGCGTCTACGTGTATACGTATGTGTATGTCTAGCAGCAGCTGCAGCTGCTGCAAGGTGTGTCTTGCGCTGTACTCACGCGGTAAATCTGTAGTGGTACGCTGTACACTCGGTCACAACTGAGAGCACACGTACATTGCTCCAGTGTTACATTTGCTGTTGCGCGGCCTACTTGTTCCTTTCTTTATTAAAAATGTACAATTATTTATGGATGTGCGGTGAAAAAAGTAGCAAACTGAACGTGAATGAAGTTTGGTCTATTGGTATCTTTAATTAAAGCGTAGAATTGAGTTTGAAAAATCAAAAGCTCCATTTCAATAAACTTACTATCTATGCTGCTAACATCCACGTGAAAGCAAAAAAACAAAGATTAAAATAATAATTACCGTGACAAGGTCTCGGCTTCAAGTAAGAAAAGCACTAGTTGCACATCACAAGTTCAGGGTAAAGAGCGCTACACGTAAATCAATTATACGCATACATACATGAGTCGTGGCATCTCCAAGAATGAAACGGTTCGTGACCGCGCTGTACGGAAAGCACAGCAGACGTGTATGCTATATAAAAGCTCGAGGAGATATCCCTTATTCCAGTGAATAAGAGCGTCTAGTTGAACTAGACGAGGGTATCCTCGGTCCGTCCGCGGGTAAGAGCAACAGTTTGTTCCGTGACGTATTCCGCATGGGGCAGGCCAGTTCCGGGGGACCCCCTTCATTAGGACAACATCTACCTTGAAGAAGTCGCTCGCTATGTTCTCAAGTAATACGTAGGAGAGAGAAACAGCTCTTGCGGGCAAAGGCTTGCAGTACATATTTAGTCGATTGCTTCCTACGCCGTCATGTGCTCCTCGTGAAAGGGGAGCGTCGCGGAGTGGCCGCTCCGCGCATCAGTTCCCCACTATTTCTCGACGCGTCCGCGCGATATACCCAAGTCATACTTTTACTGCGACTGCGCTTCTTTCAGCTTCTATGCGCTACCGCATGTTTACTGGGATATTGGCGAGAAAGATAATTATATATCATGCGACAACCAGAGCGTTTTTTAGGTGGTTTTTAGAAATAGTTTCGTTGAAAGTTAAAAGTAGTAGTTAAAATACTTATATTTTAGATATCTTTCGAAATACACGCAAGTAGTTTCAGAAATGATCATACAAGCTGATACTGTCGCAACGTTGTTGTACGAAACATTTGTGTTAATATAAAAAAATGTATAACTATTATCGACACCAGATCAACGTTTGATTAAAGACAACTTTCTGTAGCTGAAAATTAGATTATATTGTTTATTCTGATATATACAATAGATATCAAGGATTATTTGAGACAATATCATTGATTGCTTCATTACTATAATATCTCGATAAATCTGTAGATTGTAAGTCGCAACGCTATCAAAAATAATCATATAAAATAAAGATTCAATCTAATTTAGACTGCAGATAACATTATAAAAAACATTCTATTTTATTCTTGTATTTGTCTACAAGTGCTGGCAACGTTTCTGGAAATCGTTAATTTGTAAAACACTTAGATGATATCCATTCCAAAATAACGAGATTAGTTTGACATTCATTTATCCAAAACCAATAAAGACCACAGGTTTTCCCGAATATGTCACAATTTTCAAAAGTTTTAGAAAATCAAATGACAACTGAATCACAGAAGTACTTTCAAAACAATTGGTGCAAGTATGAAATAGACGAAGCCATATACAAGAGAGCGAGGAGAGAGAGAGAGAGAGCGAGCAATCCCCGGAGCATTCCTGCACGCCTATTCATTGAGCGAAGCTTAGTACATTTCCACGGTGTGCTCGAGTACATCTGAGCTCTCGCGCGTTAGTTGCGGGTACCGTAGCACCGAGAGAGCAGTTGAGAGGCGTTCGATTGGCCGTGGCGCACATAAGACCAACTAAAAGCTTCTACTCTCCCGATGATTCGCCGACTCTATTCGATCGACAAAAGTGTTTTGCGACAAACGGTTAGTAAAGCTTCGCCTGGGCTTTTCATTAAAAAGTGCCGCCAGAAGAAGAATAGATGGTAGGTCTAGGATCGAACGTCATACCAGTGTACCCTTCGAGACTATTCTGTTCGCCTGATCATTATGCCTCGCGCTTTCGACATCCATACACTCGATTATTCTCGCGGCCTCTCTCTCACTCCCTCTCTCTCTCTCTCTCTCTCTCTCTCTCTCTCTCTTTCTACCTACCTACCTACTTTATCTCTGCGAGCAATACTTACTGAGAGTATTACTACGTGAGCGCGGGCAATGTCAAGCTTTGAGTATCGAAATATTCGAGGCGATGGCTGATCGAATCACCGTGACTTTTTCGTACTGGGCTTTCAATTTGCTTACCAGATACTATAAAACATTTTTTTTTTATTTAATTATTATTTGTCTAAGATCATTTCCTTAAAATTAATTCTTTAAAAATAACAGATTTATTTTTAATTTCTAACGTTTTATGAAAAACGCAATCAGTAGAACATACCAGGATTGGTAAGACAGCGTTTGCCTTGTTGACTTATACTACTTAAAATGTCTCACCGAACTAAAATGTTATATTTAATTGTATATATTCCGGACTGTTCTCGTGGTATTTAAATAGACGCAGCATCAACAACTGACTCATATTTATAAATGATTATTTATAAGTTAATGACTTACATATTCATGGCCTATGCTTTCCCAAATATTTGAAATATTTTATGAAATAATTCTAATGCTACTGCACTTGTCATTGCTTTCAATCAAAACTGCATTATATAAAAAATAAATTGAGTCGATTTAATTTATATTATCAACCGAGAGCCAGACTTCAGTGACATCTGTTACGCAATAACCCAACTGAGAGAAACTAGAAGTATGAGAGTTAAATATGTATGATGTATAAATTATAGATCTCTAATATAAGTAGACGGTCAAACACACTCGGTGCTTCCAAGAAAATGGATGGTGTTTTCCTTGATCTCTGCTGCATTTGGTAATTTTTTAAATATTTATTTGGTAAGTGTAGTGCTGCAATCTCTCTATTACTTGTTACTTATCATCGATAATTGATTTATGAGCTGATAAATGTGTATTTAAGCGATCAAATGTTCTTGTGTACAAATTTTTGCTTTCAATGTACGAAAACTTTCTATCATTCTACCGATATATTAATAATGTGACAGTTTGTTCTTTTTAATTACAAAGAAAATATGTATCTGAAATAAACTATCAGAGCAGTAATATTATAATTTCAGTTTACAAGTGAAAGATTGACTTCGATATAACCTCAATAACAATTAATTCTTTCCATTTTATTAATATTCAATTAAAATAAAACAAGTGAGATGTATAAGTAATGCATAATATTTTTACTTACAAAACATTATATTTATGTCTGTAGACAAAAACTTATACAAGAGGATAAACAAAGCAGCAAAACTGGAGATTCTAACCTTATTATGTCTATCTATTAGTTTTTATACAACTTATTTTCAATCAATGAATCAAAATGCTTTCCACTTGTGGTGATATCCTAGAAACAACAGGTACAATTTTAAATAATTATTAATATTTCATGTGCTAATATAATAAAATACATCAGCAAATTTTTATTAGCATTGTTAGGTCAATCAGCAGACGGAGCATCAGGAACTGATAGTATTGGAACACACAGTGATTTATCTGGAAATACGACAATATTAACAAGACCTCCTAGAATGGATATTGTTTGTATTCTGGATTTGCAACAATTGGAGCACTCACTTCAAAGAAAGAAAGCATTCGAGGAAATTAAACAAGCATGTAATCTAGTGAATGCTCGACTGCATCATATACAGTTTGAAAAACTGGATTTTGGAGAAACAAATGTACTGGATACATTTTATAACGCAGATGTTGCTGTAGTAGATTTGAGCATACAAATGCAGCAGTCTGCTCTGTTCTATCACTTAGGAGTTAGAGAAAGTTTTGGAATGAAAGAAAATATTTTGTTATTTAACGATATGGATTCAGAGGCTACACTCAGACTGAAGGTAAAAATATCATTATGCACATTTTTTTGAAATATCAAGTATTTTTTAAAGTAAACAGGAGTATAATAGTATCTATGTAAAAAATGTATGTGATTAACAAAAGATTTTTATTCTAAACTTAGCTAAACTCTGAATTATTTGTACAGAAACAACTTCTACTAAATATAATTTATAATTTTATCTATTTTTGCCCTACATATAAATAAATGTATCTGAATACATTTTTCAGATTTCCTGTGGCAATTATAGATTTGTTGCCTATAAGTTTATGGACAGTGATACTAGTGTAATTACATCTAATTTTGCTAAATGTAGTAATGATGAAACTCTTGACCTTTCACAGAGGTTGAAGAAAATTTATGAAGAAGTTGAAATACAATCAAAGTAAGCCTTAATTTTTTTTTTAAATTATTAATCAGAGATTTATAACAGTTTTCATTATTTTAATTTTTTTTTATAATTTGTAGAGCACACATGAAAGAAAAATTTTTAGCAGATTTACGTAAAATGCGAGAAAGTCTTACTGGTGAAGAGCTTGCAAAAGCTTTAACTAATATGAGAAAAAGATTAGATGATCCTAATGTCTTATCAGGAGAAGTAGTTCTGAATGTCCTTATTTCATTTAGAGACATACAGGTAGGATTCTTGAAGTTTATTCTTATCAAGTACATAGTAAAATATACATATAAATTTTTTTCAGGACTATGATGCAATGGTTCAACTTGTTGATGATTTACGTACAGTTCCAAACCACAAAAATTCAATAAATACACCAGCTATTCGATTTCAGTATGCATTTGCTCTCAACCGTAGACAGAAAGAAGGTGATAGAGCAAAAGCATTAAAGGTGATTGAAGAGGCCTTAAAGAAAAAAGAGAACTATGTCCCAGATATTATTTGCTTATGTGGGAGAATTTATAAAGATATGTTTGTTGAAAGTAATTATCAAGATCAAAAATGTCTTGAACAAGCCATACATTGGTATAGAAAAGGCTTTGAGGTATAGTTTGAAATAATAAAATATATTTATTATTTAAAATATATATCTTAAAGTAAATTTCCTCATATAGGTACAGCCAAATGAATATGCTGGCATCAATTTGGCTACACTTCTAGTAGTTGCAGGCAACGAATTTTCTAAAAGTGAAGAGCTTCAACATATAGGAATGGTACTCAATAATTTAATTGGCAAGAAAGGTAGTTTGGGAAGTCTCAAAGATTACTGGGATGTGGCAACGTTTTTTGAAATTAGTGTACTTGCTGAAGATTACTCAAAGGCTATTAAAGCTGCTGAGTGTATGTTTAAGCTAAAACCTCCTGATTGGTACCTGAAATCGACAATAGGAAATATTAGTCTTATAAATAAATTTAGAAAGAAAAATGAAGATATAGAGGTAGGTCCAGAGCAACAAATTTTCGTTTTCTGGATGGATTACTTTATTGAAGCTACAAAGAATGATGTTAGTGATAACATTCGATTCCCAGTAAGTTTTCATTCATAAGTGTTATTGATTATTTTGTCTACTATTAAAAATCAACGTATTTAAGAATAATTGTATTTAAAATTTTTACATTATAGGTTTTAGTTCTAGAGCCAACAAAAATTTTAATGCCCAGTTACGTCATAGTAAATCTTGGAGCTGAAGAAAAATCAATTCAAATTTCTAATCTATGTTTAGAAAGCATGAAACATTGTTGCAAACAAGTTCACGACTGGTTATTTAATGCTGATATGATTCGCAGTGTTAGTTTGTATAAAAGAGACGAGCGTTGTTTATTTTTGTATGTCCAAGAAAATTCCGACGATTTCCAAATGTACTTACCATCAGTCAAATGTAGACAGAGATTTTACGATCTTATCTTGGAAATGACAAGAGATCAGGAAAATATGGTTACTGATCTCGATGCATATATGGCAGATGACACATCAAAAGTTAAGGTACGTCTTATTTCATTTTATTTGTTGATAATAGAGTAGTAATTACTAGTCGTGTTGCTATTTTAGTTTGAGTACGAATTGGATGAGCAGAATAAGCGCATTGTTCTCGGACGTGGTACCTATGGAGTTGTTTATGCTGCTCGTGATTTAAACACCCAAGTTCGTATCGCCGTTAAAGAAATTCGCGAAAAAAATCTTGGCGATGTACAACCGTTACACGAAGAAATAAAATTGCACAGCCAACTTCGGCACAGAAATATAGTTCAATATTTAGGTTCTGTGAGTGAAGATGGGTTCTTCAAAATTTTTATGGAACAAGTTCCAGGAGGTATAAATTTGCTTGTATGTAAAAATAAATTAATAATAAATATTTATTTTGAAATGAATGTAACTTTTACAGGAAGCTTATCAGCCTTACTCAGATCGAAATGGGGTCCTCTAAAACAAAATGAAGCTACGATATCGTACTATACAAAACAAATTTTAGAAGGATTAAAGTACTTGCACGATCAGAGGATTGTTCATAGGGACATCAAAGGTTTACAAGTTTTCTAAAATACCCTAATAGTTGCGAAGAAGTGTTTAACCGAGTTAATTTAATTTAAATTTAGGTGACAATGTTTTGGTAAACACGTATAGCGGTGTTGTTAAAATCTCGGATTTCGGCATGTCTAAAAGATTAGCTGGCTTGTGCCCAAGCACTGAAACTTTCGCTGGAACTCTACAATACATGGCCCCGGAAGTTATTGACAAAGGTCAACGTGGCTACGGGGCACCGGTCGGTAACATTAAATTTCAAATAAACACTTCCATGTACGTTATAAATAACAAAATTATATCTTTAATCAATTAGGCCGACATTTGGTCGCTTGGTTGTACCGTGGTTGAGATGGCTACTGGCAAACCGCCATTTATTGAATTAGGGTCACCTCAAGCAGCAGTTTTTAAGGTAAAACTGAAATTAAATTTTCACGCTAATTGGACAGTTACTTAAATTATTACAATAATATTTCATCGTAGGTTGGCTACTACAAAATACATCCCGAAATCCCCTCGGAATTATCAGACAGAGCCAAAAATTTCATTTTGCGATGCTTCGAAGCGAACCCCGACACTCGAGCCACGGCGTCTGAATTACTAGAGGATCCCTTTTTATCAGAGTAAGTTAAATTTAAATCGTAATAATTACAAACAAATATTATAATTTTTGTATAATATAGAAAGAAAAAAACATTGCGATTGGCCGCTCCACCAGACTTCAGTCGCAGCAAATCAGTACCAAGCGACAAGGCAGAAAAGCTCGTAATAAATGATAAAACCAATAATAATCATATCGTTACACCAAGTCCGATGCAAGCTTCGCAATCAGACGACAGGTAACGCGAGTCTCTTTACGTATCATTATTATGCGTTTCGCTTCAAATTAGTATGTTAGCAAAGTGTTAATTTTGTTGTTGAGCTTTTTATGTCACACATCACTGCTCGTATCAAAGTAGGAAGCTTTCTTTTCTAATTGATTGTATAGCGCTACGTTCTTTTTTGATTTGACATTATGATTTTTTTTGTAATTTGGTGCTCGCTTGAAATTGAAGTAACGTGCATAATGGAGGTCCGTCAAAATTACGTCGATTAAGAGACTGCAGCCCAGCTCGATATCTATCGCCTATCAGCATGCCAACTACAAATCTGTCGTATAACAGGTATGATCTTATTGGTGTGCTAATGCATGACGTTTTTTCATTGTATTAATGCACCTAACTTGACTCCTCATACAATATGTTATATTGTACACATATATGACATGTTTTTGCATGTACGTGCAAAGCAATATTTACTATACGTATACATGCTTATGAGTTTTGAAATGCAAGGCTAAGAAAAAGTACGCTACGGTGGTCAAGGTATTGTAGCTGCTTGGCGTTGTAGCGTGCGATTATTGCGAAATTAAAAGCAAACGACACTCAAAACTAAACACATACGCGTGTCTGTGGTTTTGTTTAGCTGCAGCACGATAGGAATGACTCCTTCAATCGAAACAAGCGAGCCTGATGTCGTTGGAGATTCCATAGCGAGACGAAGTTCGTCAGGCGGTCTACTCTCGCCGGAAGTCGAACTCACAGGTATAACATCTCATTATAACTATATTATTTTGTCGTTGTGCAACGAATTAACGATCTCGCTTATATTCGCGTGATATAGCACGTATTATTTCATCGTTGTTATTGGTTGACTATAAAATCTGTTTACGTTGGATACTTTGAAGTTGGATTTTTTTTCTACGGTTTGTATTTATTAGCGCACGTTAAATATACTTGATTGGAATAGATTATTAAAAATGGAGATACTAACTATTCCAAATTGTCGTTGAAGTTTTAATGACATAATCATGCAACTGCTTTGTCTTACAAAGCAGGTCATCTGACGCAGAAAAGCGGAGAAGAACAGGAAGGCTTTTATTTGCTGAAGAAGGATAGTCAGCGGCGGATGACTTTAACAAGGGTCTTAAATCAAGATGAAACGAAAATTTGTACACTTTGGTTAGACAAGATTCAATCGGAAGTTGGTCACGTTACCGTTTTACAAATGGCATGTGGATTACTACAAATAATTTAATTACTGAAATACTGAGGGGAAGTTTTAATTGAAGTATGATATATTACAGAATCATTTAGAATCGTTAACCAGGGCATTGAGAAATTACATTTCTGAACAAAAGCAAGAGCTACTAACAGCAGCAATCAGCAAATTGAAAGAAGAACTGGATTTTGATTCAACTGCTATTAACCAGTTACATTTTGCTATTTACCTATTTAAAGACGCAGTAAACGAAGTCCTTAAAATGCACAGCATAAAACCTCACTGGATTTTTGCCTTAGATAATCTAGTGACAAATGCTGTTCAAGCTGCTATTACCGTACTGTCTCCTGGTAAGAACGTTATTTTTCGTATATTTCGCAAGTTACACCTGATTGCTTACATTAGAATGTACAATTTTCAAATTGAATTTTTCAGAATTAGGAGCAAATTTGTTGGGCCACGAAAGAATTCAGACAACGGTCGAAGGTGCCGAAGAAGGATCAACTTCAGGAGTATCTACCGTCAATTCTACGAAATCACATAAAACAGGCGAATCTGCCGACTATAGTAAATATTGGTTGGAATATCATGATCAAATGGGATCGTTGAAAGTCGAAAATATGAAATTAATGCATGAATTATTAGAGGGTCAAAAGGTTTATCAAAGTTTGCTATATCAAGCATTAGAGGAGCAAAAAGAACAATTAAGGGTTTTAACGGATTTGTGTAAAAGTATTAATCAGAAAATCAGCAGAAAGAACCTTGGGTGAATAAATTTTCCAACGTTAGTAAAATAGTCAAAATGTACGAGTGCAAAATTTATTTGTTTATTTTTACAGAAGACCACAAATTAGTATTACTGACTACAACGATGAGAACGCAGTTGATTCACCATTGATACATTGGCTACAAAATTTGAATGTAGACAGTGATGCTATAGATAGGGTAAATATATTATAATTGAAATGATTAGACATTTGCTTTGAAAAAATATTAATTGAAATATTTTTTCTAGTTTATCAATGAAGAATATATTCTCGAGGATATTTTAGTTTACATTAACAGAGAAGACTTACGTAGACTCAATTTAAAGTAAGTTGGAAAATTCGTGAGCTACTTGAGTTATTGTTACTTTATAATATTGTTATTCTGTTGCTTATTTTTACAGAGGTGGAGTTGAATTGAAAATATGGAAAGCCATATTGACACATAGAAATTCTTCAAACCCCAAAGGAATATCACAAAGTTTGAAAAAGTAACCATGAAGGAAGTAGCTAGTCTCACTATAGCTGCTTAGATTAATCTAACAATAAACTTACTAATTAATCGTACTGACTTACTAACCGATACCGTGATAATATAGGAATAGTCAGCTATCAAGTGCACATGCACAAGAAATAATTATTTCTATACGATGAATGTGCCTTAACCAGTGCAAAATAGTCAGTTTTATATTGCAGCTATTGAATTTGTGTATAATAGTCATGGTGTATTGAACCACTTTATTTTTTATACAAAACTATACATCAACCAACAATTTTTAAATATGTCTTCCATTGATATGTTTAATATCAAGCCATGATCTTTTTAAATTATGATTTCAATTTTAATTTCTTGTTTGAATTGTGTATATAGCAGATTTTTGATAGGCACTTATTAGACAGTCTTTGAATAATGTACAGTATTGCATAATATATTCATGTTTATGTTTATTGTTAAAATGTTCAATAAATTTTAGATAAAATTATGGATTTTCAAAATACTCACAATCACAAATGAAAAGTTATTAAAGTTTTCTTAGAGTTTATTGAGACTTTAACATTTAAACGCAGCATATTTTCATAATAATATTAACTCTATTGTATGTTTAGCATCTTCTGCACACGTAAATTATAAAATAAGTTATTTTATTCACACTCGTCGTCATAGACTGATCAAGCAAATAGCAAACTTCTACTAAAATTTTTACATGAATCTAATCTTACTTCACTAAAATTAATCAAGTCATTTTTGAGAAAATATATTTTCAAAATTTTTATTTTTAACATATCATCCTAGAAATTGTTTTTTATATTTATAGTAATGTTATTATTTCCATTTGCATGAAAGAAAACATAAAAGTATCTTTTGTATCTCAAATTTGTAAGTGAAGCGTTTTAATTGCGTAGCAATAAAAATAAGTATAAAATCGAATAATCATTTATCTTATCCTTTTTTTCTCTTCCTTACACTTATTTCAAAGTATACGTAGTTTATCGGAAACTTTCAAGTTCCTTCCTTCTTGAAATAAAAGCGCTTTGTCGATAAGAGCTTTGAAGAGTTCAACTCTTACATAATTATTTTTGAATATGAAGAAGCAAAAAGGAAAACTACGAAAAGTGCGTCTTCATTGAAAGACTACTTTGCTCGCAATTTTTCAGCTTTTGGTTGCTTTTATGATTCAAACTGTCTAGTTTACTTGTTATTCTGTTGTTTACCTTTACATGTTATTCTGTTGCTTACCTTTACCTGTTATTCTGTTATGCTGTTCCTAAACGAGCAATTTCTCTCGATGTGTTGAAAAACAATTTGTCTATGCCATTAAGTCTTTATATTGTTGAGGCATGCCTATTGTTGAGCGTAAATATTTCAATTTGTCTATTAACTTATGGCAGTCGTGAAAAAATCTAAATTCTTTTTCGCAATTATCTATTTATTTCAGATCACTATTGAAAAAAATAAAAACTGGAACAGCCTATAATTTGAAAAATACGCGGAAAAATCAAGACGTCCTTGTGTGGAAAGGCGACGCGAACAGACGCGCGAAAATTGAGATGGGCCTTAGGAAGGGACCACTCGTGGGAAAGAAAAAATTTGACAACGCACTTTTTCTTTCATGCAGCAACGACATAACGAAACGATTCTCGGGCGAAGCATCGAGTCGAGTCAGTACGGGGTGTGTCGTTTTCAATTGATTCATTCGTGAATCGCAAAAATTAAGACTGTAATTTGTTGCAATGTTGGCGTCGATGGCAGTCTGCTTATTATAGCCATACTGACTAATCCGACGAGCAGAAATAGGCCAAAATTTTCGACTCTCCCGTTTTAGTCATTTAAAAAGTTCGTGAAATTTTAAATTTTGGAGTTAACGCCATTTAAAATCATGAACAATAGAACTTTTCTATCAATTATATAGTTTAAAATCGACTCTTCGAAGTCTTCAGTAGAATATGGATGAAAGCAAAATACTGCTTTGTGATTTGATTCCCCTGTAATGCAAAATCGCAACCCCTTTGGCGTTTATTTCGTTACAGCCCTCGTAGTTCAATCGAATAACATGTCATACAAATGGAAGTTTGTCGTTTTGTAGCGAGCCCCTATAAACTTCTAATGAAATTCGAGAAGACATAACGTTATTTTGAACAATAATGTAGTTTTGGCATCCTTTTTTCAGTCCAATATATCATTCATGTTGTATGAAAAATGTATCATTTTCATAGTCTGTTATTTCATATACCATCAACAAGAACAATACAGTGCATCATCTAAAGCTATATGTGGAGAGTATATTTTTATCACCGCGGTCAAGTGTTCAGTCCTACAACAAGCCAAAAGCAAAGAAGATGTAATTCCTCAAACGACAAACCAGCTATACAGTTGTTGAAAGCGAAGTAACCTTTAAAGCACGACGATTTAATTACAAGCTCGCAAAAGCCTCCAAAATTCATAAGTCGCGCTCCGCAGTGCTACGATTGTTATTAGACGGCAGGAGGTGTCGTGGCTTCAACGCACAGTGAACGACGAGCCGAACTCGACGATATAACGAGGATATATTGTCCACGAGAATAGCTGTTGCTTTGTATCATTAGGTGCAATACTTTGTCAGTCAAAGATGCGTGCAGACAATGACTGTCGTGTGATTGTTGCTGAATAGCCTACATATTTTGAGGTGAGTGTCTACATGGTATGGATCGGAGGGTTCGTGGTACTAGCTGTCAGATAGTAGAATGTAGAGATATGAAAATTTAAGTTCTGTTGTTGGTTATTAGAATGATTAAGACTTTTCTCAGTACTGGTTGTAAATTTTAAGTAAAAATTATGAAATAATATAATGTATTTATATACACTGTTGAGAATAATAAATACTATAATTGAAAAATATAGCGAATTATCATTCTATAAAATATATTGTCAATGATCATAACTATTTATTCTAATTAGTTTTGAGAACAAACTTTTGTAAAAAGAGGTAAAAAAAAATTTAGGGCAATATTTTAACCTCGAATATATATGATATTGAATAACACCCTCCGAACGTTTTCAAGGCAACCGTTGCTAGGAACGCTAAAGTAGATTAATTAATTTCAAAGTACACAACTTCCAAAGCTCTCACTGATGTGCACTACCTATGGTGTTTCAAACAGCTTCAAAGTAAAGAAAAAAATGTTCCGCGTCTGGTTGAAGTTTCCTTATAAACTGTTAATAAATAAGAAATTACATTAAAAGAATTGTATATTTACTTGTCATCTTGATGGAAGTTTCAGAAATCAATTTTCCTCTGAAAACGAATGTAAAAATTTATATAAATTGATTATTTTTTAATACCGTCATATAGACTTATTTTCTGGAGTAAATAGTTTTAAGTAGTATGACGCAAAATGGTCAGACATAATAATAAATTTCAATACAATCGATAGTATTACCAACTGTTAGACAATTTATTAATAAATAAATCATAAAAATCTACTAACAATAAATCGTTGACAAAATTTTTACGTAATATCATAGGCGTTCAGTCAAACAAATACAAAACTCAATATAAATCGAACTCATCTTTTCGTGAATGGCAAATAAAAGTTTTGATGAGATGGAAAAGCTCATGAATAACGCGCTGAGAAACAAAAACAAGTAAAGTTTCGTGTCAGCTTCGAATTCGCGAGCTTTTCTCCCCTCCGCGGAGACTGAACATTAGCCGATATGTCGAGTCTGTCGCGTATGTACCTCGATGTTCAATATGAATGCAGATGGTTCAATTTGGCGATTTTTTTTTTCGTCAAATTCTCGGTTGGTTGTCGCGAGATTGCTAGTGGAAATAAGGTCGAGAAGGTAGTGGGCGACTGGCAATAGAAAAAAAGAAAACGTATTTGGATTAGCATAATTTTATTGCGAGGGAGCCAAGTTGCAGAGAGCATCATAAAACGCTTCGCAACTTTTCACATCCGTTTCGGAATGGAAAGAATGCCCATTACGACGTTCCTTAGATGACTGTAAAACTAAAATATATCCAGTGAATCTACAAACAATAAGCGTGGGCTTTACGAGCCGTGGAATGCCTAAAAGTAAAATAATAAATCTGACTACGGTATTGATAACATGTTCGCGGGTGTACTATGACCTATAAATTGCGCGACGCTTGACTTGAATGTTGTACAATGGAACATTGGTGTTTTCTTATTCCTGCATCAATATCATGAATTTCAGCGTACTCTCGAAGAAAAGTGAAAAGATGTCGGATACCGAGAGCAGTGGCTCCAGCGGGGGTTTATTGGCAATAGCGAAGGACGAGGTGAAGCCATTGCCAGTTTTGCTATTCAATACCAATACCAGCGAGAAGCTCGAGGAATTTCAAGCTTATTTTCGAACTATGATGAACTCTAAAGCAAATTCAGTTGAGGAAGATCAACCACCCGAGGAGCCTGCTGATGTTATCGAACCTATACCAGGTATAATTTATAGTACAAGAATGATTGGAAGAAAAAGCAAGAACTTTAGTTTTATTATGGGAAAATATTGAAACACGTTAATAACGTTATCATAAAGAAACCACGATTATGTGTTAGCAAATAGAAAGCTATCTGTTAACGGGCGTGAGGTTCATAATCTTGGAAGGGATGCTTCAAAATTCTATAGTGTAGAACATCAAAACATCATCTCGTCAGTCTATTTCGTGCAAGCGTATTACAATGTACTTTCACGGTGAACTTGTCGGCAACAGAAACTCCGCTCAGCGTTAGAGAAAGCTTGACTGCGTCACAAGAAGTGAGCATTCGAACTTCTTGCACGAGAGAAAGACTGAAAATTGAAGGATAGAGTTAACCTGTTGAGACTGCTTACGGGAGCTTCTCTTTCCTTTCCTTCATCTTCTCCTGGAAAATTTTCCAGACGCCCAACGCCGCCGACTCTGAGCTCCGCTCGTCTTCTCCCTTCTCATTCGAATCAACTTGCGAGAGTGCCGTTCAAAAAGAATTGGCGCGTGCTCGCTGAAAATTGCCGCAGAGAATATTCCAATGCCGCGCGCCAGTGCGAAGATTGACTTTGTCTTTCTTACGTTGACTCACGCTCTTTTACTTATTCTCTCTTTTCTTTTTATCACCGAAGGGAGGGAAGCTCAATCTGTTTCGCAAATTATTCTTGAATATTTTTCTTTTTCGCGAGAATATTTGCACGCGCGAAATGTCTTTTCAATACGTAATCATGAAAAAAAAGAACTCCCAATCTTTTCTCATTCAAATAATTACTTTTTTCATTCGAAATATTGTCCAACCGCCGAATCATTAATCGAGAATCGATTTATCCGTATAAGTCAAGATTTGTCCAGTCCCCAATCAAATCTCCGAATCGTGCAGTTATTGCATTTTTTCTGCTCGCTGTTCCGCGGGGCAATCGTCGAAGCGATTATTTCCAGAACGAAAGAGGAGCAAGACGAAGAAGTCGACTTGGCAAGTCAATATTCCCTCGAGGGTTCGAATTTCTGCGGACGCAGCCTCAACTTTATTAGTCTCCTCGAGTTCGTGGATCAAAGGAAAGTGGGAAAAAAATTAATTGACAAAACGATAATTGCCACAAGCTCGATAATGAAACAAATAGAATAGAAAGTACACACTTGTAGCACGGCAGAGAAAAAAAGAAATGAGCAATCATTCGAGACGAAATAAACTCCGCAACGGGTTTTCTCGTTCTGGCGCTCGACCAAAACTGCGAGCGAGTATCCAGGTAACTCTCTCTCTGTCTGTCTCTCTTTCTCTCTCTGGCTTCCCTTTCCAAATTAAACTCATAAAACGTCGGCGGGGTTAGACTCGTTGGGTCGCTGTCTCCCACGAGCAAGCATGCAAGCCAACATCCAGCCACGTAGATAAACTTGATTTGGTGCTGTAAGCCTTTGAATAATTAAAGCCGACATTAGTGCTGCTTTACAGTGCGTTGTTGCAGGTACTGATATTATTAAATCTGAAGATATTAACAGAGCTTCCGCGAGATTTTCCGCTCTCAAAGTTGAAATTCTACAAAAGCATTGAAAAACTAATCTCGTGACTGAATTATGAAAATTAACTTTATAGCGAGCTTACGAAGTACAATACAAGCTTGTTTTTCAATTAGCTGAAAGCAAGTTAACGTGATTGCGAGTAAAGTAAATATATGAAATTTCGCCTACCCACCTGCCAACGCAGCGAAAACGCACGAAACCAGAGTGCAGCAATCGATGCCAGTCATCGCCGGCAACAGAAAAATTGGCATTGGCAAGCTTTTGTAAGCTCGAAAGAGAGATGCGAGGGAGAGGATCGAAAAGCGACTGAAGGTTCCACTGCGACGACGGTGCCTGCCAGTGCAATGCAGAGCAGCGTATGATCGCGTGCAACGTCGCTGGCAAAATGTGTGTTCCGTGTCTCGCTGTCTTTCCCTCTTTCTCCATCGTGACAATAAGCGAAACTCGACGACGACGACAGTTGCCCTGGCAAGCTTGTTAGTTTGCCCACCGAACTTCATGCAAAAGGATTGATCCGCTCATTCCACTGCGGTACTTACTACTTTGTTTGGTTTTTAGCTGAACCGCCGTCGATGGAGTCTAACGTAGATCCGCGAATGGAATATCTGGGCTCTGTTGTCCAAAAGTCATTGAAATTGAAGCATGAAAAATGGCACAGGCTCACCGTCACGGAGGATCATCGCAATATTTTGTTAGATTTTTTGGACAATCCAGTGCCTGCCGCGCTTTTTGTCGTGCTTACGCCGACAGCCCAACTGGTACCATCATGTGGCTTTCCCATTCCTTGTCAACGTACGAAAGGTACTTCATTTGATTATATTTATTACAATGTGCTTTGAATTTTACATTGTTTCTTTTTGATTTCGCTTTCATCGACTTTCTCACAATTACTTTCTGCTCATGTTTTACAAAAATTTTACAAATTCAAAATTTGCTTTTTTGGTTAAAATTATTTCATATTCACTTTAGAGTTCAAAGTAGTGGGTTCACAATGTTCTTTAAAGACGCTTTGAAGAATAATGGAATAACTATTCACTTGGATTTGTTATTTACAATGAAATTAGAAAGAAGCAGTCTGAGCTTTGATGCAGCTGTAACGTTACTTTCAACATTGATATTGTTTATCGTATTGTCAGGAGTATATGCAATCAAAATGAAAATCGCTGTTATACCAAAAGAAAAAGAGGCCTGCGCAGCAATGCTACTTACAGGAGATTTATCTCATCGTGTAGTAGACGAACTAGCCACCATAGTCGACAACATATTCGCGCCTTTACTCTGTAAGCCCGACAATCACAAGGACCTGCCTGGTGTCGCTGTGCAGGATATTTCTCGACATGTTCACTCACTTCGCGGTACTTTGTATCAAGTAAGTTAATAAAAATCAATCAAAGAAATCATAAAGAAAGGTGGTAATATTTAAATTTGCAGGTAAAGGGCCAAGTAAACGGAAGAACAGTGTTACCTATGCCAGCAGGTCTCGAGAAAGTAGCTGAAGTCGAAAGATTAGTTACAGTCGATGGTCCACAAGCCGTAGATTTGTATCTGAAAAGTGCCATCGAAGGTGTTGTTATAAAGTGGGCCTACCTCGTGAATGACGTTGTTACTCAAGAGTCGAGTGTGGCCTTCGAAAACGGTCAAAATCCAACGCCGTACGTTGAGCTCGAATATTGGTCAACTAGACTGGCGAATTTACGGTGAAGCGAAAATCTATTGCTAAAAACTGCTGGAATATTATCATAAAATATCGTTTCACTTTTTTAGATACATCTTCGATCAGTTACGAGAAGAACGAGTGCGGAAAATGGCAATAATCCTGGAGAAAACCGACAGCGCGTACTACCCATGCTTCCGAACTCTTTTCGGAAATGTTGTATCGTCTTTGGCCGAAGCAAAGGAGATCTCGTTGTACCTTACGCCTCTTGCCAAATGCTTCAAAGCAGTGGAGGAGGTAGACTTTTCCGAAGCGAAGCCTGTCATAGCCACTCTTATCCACTCCGTCGGGCTTGTTTGGATAAACTCACGCTACTATCAGAGCTCGTCCAAACTCATCATCATGCTTCGCCAGATATGCAACTTGCTTGTGCAGGAAGCAAGAAGATTTCTTGATCCGACGCTGATATTTCAGAGTGACGTTGATGAAGCTTTGCAAAGAGTGCAAATTTCTAAAGGTATTGGGGATTACGTTTTCTTTTTTTTTTTGTTTTTTTTTGTATTGCACACATGTTTTCCTGTGATCAGTAAAATATTATTCTATGAAAAAATTAATTGCTACACATACCGACAAAAACTAGCGTGTCGTCGAGGTTAAAGTGATGTATACGAATTTTCGTAACTAGCGAACATACTATGCTTCATCGTAAAAATACCGTAACTACAATTTAATAAGAGTCTCAGAGGTTTTAGTACGTTAGATGCGGAAAAAATACTTCACTTTTTAGACGTCCTCAGGGAATTCAAATATCAATTCGAACATCACAAAAACATGCCAGCGTTGAGAAAAGAAGCACCGCCATGGACATTCAATCCCAACGCCGTATTCGGTCGATTGAACGCTTTTCTCAAGCGATTATCCGATATCGAGTGGCTCTTCGACACTGTCCTCGAGTTCTCGAAGCTGGAGAAAATCGAGATTGGTGGTGTTATGGGACGTTCATTGAGCACTCGCATCACCGGCGTGTACAAGGAGTTCCAGCAACTTTTCGCTGCGTTCTCCACTCGCGGGAACGACGTACTTGAACCCGACGACGAAACTTTCGTACAGGATTGCAAGAAATTCAGCGAGGCCATCGTTGACCTCGACAGCAAACTCGCGGCTATTCTCTGCCAGGCTTTCGACGATTGCGCGAATTTAGAAAGTACTTTCAAGGTATACATAGATTAATTTAATTATTAATTTTTTACATTTTCTTTGTTGATGATTAATAATTGACAGTTGATAAATATCGCTGGGACAGTTTTGGATCGACCAGTTATCAGGAAACAGTTTACAAATCGCTACTCACGAATTCTTGATCTGTTGAATGAGGAATTGACGATAGTCGAGGCGCTATTCAATCAAGGGCCGCGAGGTGCAATGCGTGATTTACCGCCTCTTGCTGGTGATTTACAGTTTATGAGAATGCTACAGTTTCGCATTGATCTGCCAGTGCAAACATTCAAATCCCTTCAACATCCGTAAGCGAAGATTATTAATTTTATCGATAGTATTAATCGAACTCGATTATACTTTTTTAAAGGATCATAGACAGCAAAGAAGGCATGAATATTTTAGCACGATATGACAGATTAATCGCAACATTGGAAGACAAGCAAAGGACTCTATTCTTTGAATGGGCAAAAGCCGTACCGGATAAGGTCAAAGAGGGTTTGAATAGATCTTTAATAAAGAGGGATCAAGTTTCCATGTTAATTTTGAATTTTGATCCGGAGCTTCACGCTGTACTCAAAGAAGTCAACTATCTGAAGCAAATGTCTTATGAAAATATACCAAAAGAAGCTCTAGATGTACGTGAACTTTTCATAACAGAATAAATGTATCATTGTAACATAAATTTAACATCAATTGCATTCATTATTTACAGGTAGCCGAAATATCGGAAACATTCCGACAGTTCAGAACGCTCCTTACGGGCGCGGTGAACTTCTACAATGAGATTCGTCGAACTTGTCGCAAAGTTGAATTCCATTTGATCGAACTCGATATCGCGCGAATAGACTCTCTCGTTGAGCGTGGTGAAAACGAACTAAAATGGAATTCAGAAGGTCTCCTTGATTACATGACGGAACTTGGTAGTCTACTCGAAGACTTATATAAACGTGTAAAAGCTACTCAAGCTAATGTAGAAAGCATACGGAGTACTATTGAGCCGTGGACGAGAATGCCATTAATTGAACGTAAAGACCGACGTAAAGACACGTTGCTGTGTTTGGAGGAACGCGAGGAACGAGTAAACAAGAGATACACGGAAATGCGTCGAGCAGCTGAACAAATTATGCAATTTCTGGAGGAAAATAAAAAGCTGTTTGAAGTTTCGAATAAAAAAAGTCGTGCGTGGCAAGTCTACGTTACTTATGTCGATAAGATCGTTATAGAATCTCTTCGTAAAGCTGTTGGTTGTTCATTGTCTTACCTCTTGGAGAACATGGATACTTCCTGTCAAAATGAACCACTGCTGGAAGCGAGACTGGAGCTTCGAGAGCCCGACTTATTTTACGTGCCATCTCTTGAACCTGATGATCCTGATGGCTTAGATCAGCTGATAGCGAATTTATTGAATGATATTATTCATATGGCTACACTCATACCAAGACTGAAGACTGATACTGAGGGATATGCAGAAGAGTTGCAAAAAGATGATGATATTTGCGCGATGAAAAATGAAATACTTTCGGGTGTTATTAAAGCTGTTGAAGAAGCTACTGATTTTTGTGGGGTTTTCGAAGGTAAGTAACAATATAATATCAATAGTTAAATATTTGATTTCTGTAATAATACTTGTAGGTTACGCTTACTTATGGCTAGAGGATAGAGATACAGTCATGCAGCAGTTCTTAGAATACAGCAGACAATTAACCGTGGAAGAAATCGATATGTTACTTGCTCTCGATCCAAAAGCTCCATCGAAAAATCCCCCTAAAATGGAGCACTTTCGAGAGCAAATAGATCTATACGAAAATGTGTACATAGAAGTCGAAGAAATGAGTTGTTCGAAAATATTTTGTAATTGGTTCAGAGTTGATTTAAAGCCATTCCGACAATCTCTTTTAAATACTATTTGCAAGTGGTCGAGTATGTTTAAACAACATTTAGTTGAGCACGTGACAACGAGCTTATCGGATTTAGGATCATTTATAAGGTAAATAAATTGAAATTGAAGGACATCGGACTCGGTCGGTATGGGTAAAGAAACGATAAAATACTTTTTAAAATGTATTATCTACACATCGATCGAGCCCAATTTCCTTCACATACAAAAATGGCAGGTGAGCAAATTTAAAGAAATTGAAAAAATAATATCATAAGAGATAACGCGCGTCAATAAATGAATTAAATTTATCAGGCGCGCTGACGAAGGTCTTCTCCAGCAAGTACAGCCAGGAGATTACGACGGTCTCGTTAGTGTGATGGGTTTTCTGATGCAAGTTAAGGAAAGGCAGCCCGTGACAGATGAAATGTTTCAACCTTTGCAAGAAACTATTGAGCTTTTGAAATTTTACGACCAAGATATTCCAGAAGAAGTTAATGTCTTTCTTCAAGAACTACCCGACCAATGGGCAAATACCAAAAAATTAGCTTTAACTGTAAAACAACAAGTTGCACCTTTACAGGCTGGTAGGTCTTTTAATAATATATTTCTATATGATAGCAGTAGTCTCTTATTCATTTTTTTTTCTATTTTCGATCGACAGGTGAAGTTTCAAAAATACGAGCTCGCATAGTAGCTTTTGATATCATAGTGGTTACATATCGAGATGCTTTCAGACGTTTTGAGTTTTTCAAATTTGATTGTGAAAAACCTTACGAATTACTCGATGAAGCTCACGAACTCATTTCAATGCAAGAAAGACAAATGCAGGATATACAACAGTCCGCCTCGCTGTTTGAAGTAATGGTTCCTGAATTCAAACAATTAAAGCAATGCAGAAAAGAATTGAAATTGCTTAAACAGTTGTGGGATTATGTAAATATTATAAGAAGTAGTGTTGAAGGTTGGAAAGGAACGCCATGGAGAAAAATTGACGTGGAAAATATGGATATTGAGTGTAAGAAGTTTGCCAAAGAAATAAGAGGTTAGTCATTTAATGTTGTTTTTACAGTATTTTCATTGATCATTATACTGTAAAATAAAGGTCTGGACAAAGAGATGCGACCATGGGATACATATACATCACTCGAATCAACCGTAAAAAATATGTTAACATCTTTGAGAGCCGTTGGAGAACTTCAAAATCCAGCGATACGCGAAAGGCACTGGTTTCAGTTAATGAAGAGTACAAAGGTACCGTCAATTAAAGAAAATATTTGTAAATATGTACATAATGACATGTTATTTAATTGCTTATTTCACAAATATATATGTGGAAACGAATAATATTATTATTATTTTGTACATACGAGAATCTTGCGATATAGTCATATATTAATATTTATGCGTAAGTCATATAGTTAATTGCACAGCTGTAAATATGCTGTAAATGTTGCAGAAATTGGGCGACATGACTCCAGAAATGACCGTAAGTTCACTGTAAATAAAAAGCACCACAAAAGTAAATTTTGGACGTATAACATTATAAATACATATTTCATGCAAAGATAGTTGAGTTATAGAAGTTAGATAACTGAAATTGTTCGTCAAAACAAATATAAAAATAGTTGCTTTATTCAATCTATAATAATATTGTTAAGATGTTTTACTTTTATTTCGTGGTAAAGGTACTACGATATTATAGATATAAACCACACCAGATAATAATGTAATATAAAAATATACGTTCTATATAGAGCATTATATTTTAAACTATTGCATGATAATAAAATAGTTTAGTTTTAGCACAATATAAATGTTTATTACAAATTGAACGTACTTTTCATAGTAAAGCACATTTTTTATGTTGCTCGTGTAAAAAATTACATTATGTACGAGATGTAATAATCATAAATATAAATTCATATAAAAGTCATTGTAGAAATTCATTTCCATTCCACCATATCTTCTCTTTAGAGGGACTCATTATCAAAATTGAAAGCACAATTTTACAAGTTAGTTCGTATTTTTTAGTCTTTCATTTTATATACTAATAAAAATGATAAAACTACTAGAAAATTAATCAAATAAATAGGTACGGTTCGTTATGGATGAAGAAACAAGTCTAGAGAATTTGCTAGAGTTGAATTTGCATGAGTGTGAAGAAGAAGTGAAAAATATAGTAGATAAAGCTGTGAAAGAAATGTCAATGGAAAAATACCTTCGAGAATTAAATAGCATTTGGTCGGGTATGGAATTCGAAAAAGAAGATCATTCACGTACTGGTGCCATTCTGCTTAGAGCTAGCGAAGAATTAATTGAAACTCTAGAAGAAAACCAAGTACATTTAGGTTATTTAAACTCCAAACAACATTTTTCATTTTATTATAATAACGATTCTTTTTAATTTTAGGTTCAATTACAAAACTTAATTACGTCAAAGTTCATAGCTCACTTTTTAGAAGAAGTTTCTTCATGGCAAAAAAAATTAAGTGTTGCTGATCAAGTAACCACATTATGGTTTGAAGTTCAAAGAACATGGATTCATCTTGAGAGTATTTTTATGTCTTCCGAGGATATAAGAAAACAGTTACCTGTAGATTCTGAGCGATTCGATCGAATCGATCAACAATTCAGGGAAATGAGTCACGAAATGGGAAAAACGCCAAATGTGGTTGAAGCAACAAATAAAGATGGCCTTGTGAGAGTTTTGGATATTCTACAAAAGGAACTAACTTTATGTGAAAAAGCTTTAGCAGAATATTTGGAAACAAAACGATTAGCCTTTCCAAGATTTTATTTTGTATCTTCAAGTGATTTATTAGATATTCTTTCCAACGGAAATCGACCTGAAGTTGTTGCAAAGCACTTGATTAAATTATTTGATTCAATGGCATGGCTCAAGTTCCATGATGATAGTAAAACCGTAAAACCAGAAAAAGTAATTGGTAAGAACTGTGAAAGTATTATGTGATTTTAACTTGAAGTGTAGATTTAGTTTAAAAACTTAGTTACTTTCAGGTATGTTTGCCAAGGATGGAGAGTATGTTGCATTTATCAATTATGAAATGACATGCGAAGGCGCAGTAGAAGTTTGGTTGAATAGATTACAGAAAGCTATGCGAACTTCGATTCGTCATTACTTTAGTGATGCAGTAGTGGCTTACGAAGAAAAACCTAGAGAACAGTGGTTATTTGACTATCCAGCTCAAGTCTCTTTATGCGGTACTCAAATTTGGTGGACCACTGAAGTAAATCTTGCATTTGGTAGATTAGAAGAAGGTTACGACAATGCTCTGAAAGATTATTTGAAAAAACAAATTGGACAACTGAGTACGCTAATCACTTTGTTACTCGGAGAACTAACCAAACAAGATCGACAAAAAGTTATGACCATATGTACAATAGATGTGCACTCTCGTGACGTCGTTACGAAACTTGTACAGGCAAAAGTAGAAACTGCTCAGGCTTTTCAATGGCAAAGTCAATTGAGACATAGGTGGGATGAAAAAGAAAAAGATTGTTTTGCCAATATTTGTGATGCACAATTTAGGTATTCACACGAATACTTGGGTAATACACCAAGGTAAATTTTGAAAATCCGTTGAACATTTAATTTTTTATGGAATGTTATTTTTTATAAATTTATTTACAGATTAGTTATCACGCCATTAACTGATCGCTGCTACATAACATTAACTCAATCCCTCCATCTCGTAATGGGTGGTGGCCCTGCAGGACCAGCTGGTACTGGAAAAACTGAGACAACTAAAGATCTAGGTCGAGCTTTAGGAATCATGGTTTACGTATTTAATTGCTCAGAGCAAATGGATTACAAATCATGTGGCAATATTTACAAAGGCTTAGCTCAAACAGGAGCATGGGGATGTTTCGATGAGTTTAATAGAATATCCGTTGAAGTACTTTCTGTCGTTGCAGTACAAGTGAAGTCTGTTCAGGATGCCATTAAAGACAAAAAAGAAATTTTCAATTTCATGGGAGAAATTATAGCTTTAACGCCTACTGTTGGTATTTTCATAACTATGAATCCTGGCTATGCAGGACGTACAGAGCTTCCAGAAAATTTAAAAGCTCTATTTAGACCATGCGCTATGGTTGTACCTGATTTTGAGTTAATTTGCGAAATTATGTTGGTTGCTGAAGGATTTCAAGATGCTCGTATTCTTGCAAGGAAGTTTATTACATTGTATACTTTATGTAAAGAACTCCTATCGAAACAAGACCATTATGATTGGGGATTAAGAGCAATAAAATCAGTTTTAGTAGTTGCTGGAAGTTTAAAACGTGGTGATCCTGGGCGACCAGAAGAGGAAGTACTTATGAGAGCATTACGTGACTTTAATATTCCAAAAGTTGTTTCCGACGATTTACCAGTATTTATGGGATTGATTGCCGACCTCTTCCCTGCACTCGACGTCCCCAGAAAAAGAGATGTTGATTTTGAAAAAACTGTGAAGCAAGCTGCAACTGATCTTTTATTACAACCGGAAGACGGATTCATCCTCAAAGTTGTTCAATTGGAAGAGTTACTAGAAGTACGACATTCTGTGTTTATTGTGGGATCAGCAGGTTCTGGTAAGACGAAAGTTTGGAAAACCTTGTTTAAAACTTATCAGAACCTAAAGAGGAAGCCAATATTTAATGACCTTAATCCAAAAGCAGTAACAAACGACGAACTCTTTGGTATCATAAATCCAGCAACGAGAGAATGGAAAGATGGCTTGTTTTCTGTAATCATGAGAGAGCAAGCTAATCTCGGAGGGGAACATCCGAAATGGATCATTTTAGACGGAGATATTGATCCTATGTGGATTGAATCTCTAAATACCGTGATGGACGATAATAAAGTATTGACGCTTGCGAGTAATGAAAGAATAGCTCTGACACCTTCTATGAGATTACTGTTTGAAATTTCAAATTTAAGAACTGCTACTCCAGCTACGGTTTCTCGAGCTGGTATATTGTACATAAATCCTCAAGATTTAGGCTGGAATCCTTATGTTACTAGCTGGATTGAAACGCGACCTTCCCAATCGGAAAAATCAAATTTGGTCATTCTTTTTGACAAATATATTCCTACGTGCTTGGAAACGCTACGTATAAGATTTAAGAAAATTACACCTATCGCTGAAATGGCTCATGTAGAAATGTTATGTCACTTATTAAGTTGTCTATTAACTACAGAACTAACGTCAACTGATTTTTCAAAAGATCACTACGAACTTTATTTTGTCTTTGCGGCAGTTTGGGCATTTGGTTCTGCAATGTTCCAAGATCAAACAATAGATCATCGTATTGAATTCACTAAATGGTGGGTGAATGAATTTAAACAGATTAAATTTCCTAGCACAGGAACGGTTTTTGACTATTATATTGATCCAGAAACAAAAAATTTTGTCTCATGGACTGAACGTTTACCTAAGTTTGAGTTAGACCCTGACTTACCTTTACAAGCAGTTTTAGTATATACAGCTGAATCAATTAGAATACGATATTTTCTTGATCTTTTAATGGCAGAAAAGCATCCTGTAATGTTAGTTGGTCCTGCAGGATGTGGTAAAACAGTTCTAGTGGCAGAAAAACTTTTGCAACTTTCAGAAAATTACGTGATCACCAATGTTCCATTCAACTTTTATACAACCTCTGAAATGCTTCAGAAAATTTTAGAAAAGCCACTGGAAAAAAAAGCCGGACGAAACTATGGGCCACCTGGAAATAAAACCCTAATATATTTCATTGATGATATGAATATGCCCGAAGTAGATCCGTATGGAACAGTGCAACCACATACACTGATACGACAACATTTAGATTACACTCATTGGTACGATAGAACTAAACTGTCTTTAAAAGATATACACAACTGTCAGTATGTTAGTTGCATGAATCCAACAGCTGGATCTTTTACTATAAATCCAAGACTTCAAAGACACTTCGCAGTATTTGCTATTAGTTTTCCAAATTCTGAGTCCTTGACTACTATTTATGCATCTATTCTTTCGCAACACTTGTCAAATATTGAACATAGGTGTGTAATCATTTAGGAATATAATATTTTTAATGTACTTTAGGTATATGATATACTTTGATTTATAGATTCCCATTAACAATTGCTGATCTTGGAAAATATATTGTGCAAGCTACTTTGCAGTTGCATCATAGATGTGCTCAGGTTTTTCTTCCTACAGCGACGAAATTCCATTATATTTTCAACCTTCGAGATTTATCGAATTGTTTTCAAGGGCTACTTTTTAGTGGTAATGACTGTCTCCAAATTGGAACAGATTTCGTTAGGCTTTGGATGCATGAAACTCAAAGAGTCTATGCAGATAAACTTACTGACGACAAAGATATCGAGACGTTTAATAAATTACAGATTGATATTTTGAAAAAGAATATTGAGGAAATCGATGAAGGAGCTATTTTTGAAAAACCAAATATATATTGTCACTTTGCTGGTAAAGCTTTAATTCAGCTAACTAACTAATTAACGAAATAAAATTGTCTTATGAAGTAATCTTTATTAAATATATTTTTCTTAGGTGGTATCGGAGAACCAAAGTATATGCCGGTACAAGATTGGGCTACTCTACACCGATTACTAACAGAAGCTTTAGTTACTTATAATGACTTAGTATCTGCAATGAATCTCGTTCTTTTTGAAGATGCTATGATGCATGTGTGTAGAATCAATCGAATCTTAGAATCACCTCGAGGCAGTGCGCTTCTCGTTGGTGTTGGAGGATCTGGAAAACAAAGCCTTTCACGCTTGGCAGCATTTATAAGCTCTCTTGAAGTTTTTCAAGTGCAATTACGCAAAGGATATGGAGTACCAGATCTTAAACTGGAACTTTCCTCTCTTTATTTAAAATCAGGCATGAAAAATTTGGGAATAATGTTTCTCATGACAGATGCTCAAGTGCCGAACGAACATTTTCTGGTTTTAATCAACGATATGCTTGCTTCTGGAGAAATCCCAGATCTCTTTCCAGAAGATGAAGTTGAAAATATTATTTCAGGCTTGTAATTTATTCTTATATTAACAAAATATTTTAAAGCCATTGCCGAATGTGTTTATTATTTGATAGGTGTAAGAAATGAAGTGAAAGGTGCTGGAATTCTAGATACTCGAGAAAATTGCTGGAAATTTTTTATTGACAGAGTGCGCCGGCAACTAAGGGTAGTGCTCTGTTTTTCTCCTGTAGGGTCGACGTTGAGAGTTCGATCGCGAAAATTTCCGGCAATAATTAACTGTACTGCCGTAAATTGGTTCCACGAATGGCCTCAGGAGGCTTTAATGTCTGTCTCCAAACGTTTCCTGCAAGAACTGGATGAGCTACCGGAAAGTTATCTGTAAATAAAAATTAATTTACATTCTTCTCTAACATATTGATGTACTAAAATATTTCTCTCTGTCATAGTGAATCGGTATCTAAATTTATGGCACACGCACATACGACAGTAAATCTAGCAAGTAGACAGTATCTGATAAACGAGCGTCGCTACAATTATACAACACCAAAGTCTTTTCTTGAACAGATTAGCTTGTACATAAAACTTTTGAAGAACAAAGCTGCCGAATTGAAAGCTCGTGTGGAGAGATTGGAGAATGGTTTAGCTAAATTGAAGTCAACGGCTGTTCAAGTAGACGAGTTGAAAAAAAAATTGGCTATCCAAGAAATAGAATTACAGCAGAAAAATGAGGCAGCTGATCTTCTTATAGCGAAGGTCGGCGTGGAAACGGAGAAAGTACAAAAAGAAAAGGCTTTAGCCGACGAAGAAGAGACGAAAGTGGCGATCATTGCTGAGGAGGTGTTGAAAAAACAAAAGGATTGCGAGGCAGACTTGTTAAAAGCAGAGCCAGCATTATTAGCCGCTCAGGAGGCTTTGAATACGTTAAATAAAGCAAATCTTACAGAGCTTAAGTCATTCGGCTCGCCACCTGGCGCAGTCACAAACGTCACTGCAGCTGTGATGGTGCTACTTGCACCAAGTGGCAAAATACCCAAAGATCGCAGTTGGAAAGCTGCTAAAGTACTATCAACTGTATAAAAAGAAAATTAACTATTTAGAACGCTAAATGATCTCTTTTGTTATTTATTTTAGATTGTAATGGCCAAAGTCGACGCATTTTTAGATGCATTAATTAATTACGATAAAGAAAATATTCACCCGGAAGTAATAAAATCTATTCAACCTTACCTTAAAGACTCGGAGTTTGAGCCAGAGTTTGTCAGATCTAAATCTGCAGCCGCAGCTGGTCTGTGCGCGTGGGTTATCAATATTATTAAATTTTATGAAGTTTTTTGTGATGTAGAACCAAAGCGCAAAGCATTAGCTCAAGCTAATGCTGAATTAGCTGCTGCTCAGGATAAGTTAGGAGTCATAAAACGCAAAGTTGCTGTAAGTAATTTTTCTATCACTATTTCGTTGAAAAATGAACGGATTTGATAGTCGTCACATTAATTTTAGTCGCTAGAAGAACAATTAGCAGCGCTCACAGCAGAGTTTGAACAAGCTACCGAGGCAAAGTTAAAGTGCCAGCAAGAAGCCGATGCGACAAATGCCACCATTGCTTTGGCTAATCGATTGGTTGGCGGATTGGCGTCAGAGAATGTTAGATGGGCAGATTCAGTTGCAAAGTATGGTCATCTATAGCGCTAAAATTATAATCTAGATTAAAATATTATATGTCAATTTTGGTATTTTTAGTCTCATGCAACAATCATCAACTTTACCAGGCGATGTGCTTTTGGTTACCGCTTTCATTTCGTACGTAGGTTGCTTTACAAAGCAATTTCGCTTAGATCTTTTAAACAAGCAATGGTTACCGTTTTTACGGAATATCGAGCCAGCTGTACCCATAACTGATGGACTCGATCCGTTAACTTTACTGACGGACGACACTCAAATAGCTAAATGGAACAATGAAGGATTACCAAACGACAGAATGTCAACAGAAAATGCAACAATTTTATCGAATTCAGATCGATGGCCTCTTATGATTGATCCGCAGGTATTCTACGATCAAATTTTCAACTCTCAAGTATAAAGAAATGCTACTACTGTAGAAAAAAAATAATTTATTTTAGCTCCAAGGTATCAAATGGATAAAGCAAAAATACGGCGACAATCTACGCGTGATTCGTCTCGGGCAGACAGGTCACCTCGACGTAATTGAACAGTCACTGGCAGCTGGTGCAACAGTACTCATTGAAAATATTGGAGAACTTGTCGATCCTGTGCTGGATTCACTGTTGGGTCGAAACTTAATAAAGAAAGGCCGTGCTTTAAAGATTGGCGACAAGGAAGTCGAGTACAACCCGAATTTCCGTCTGTTGTTGCACACCAAACTGGCAAATCCTCATTATAAACCTGAAATGCAGGCTCAGACGACGCTTATTAATTTCACGGTGACGCGCGACGGATTGGAAGACCAACTGCTCGCTGAAGTTGTGAAGGCTGAGAGGCCGGATTTGGAGGAGCTGAAGGCGGAATTAACGCGACAACAGAATTATTTCAAAATAACTCTAAATAGTCTCGAGGATTCTCTGCTTTCCAAGTTTGTATACAAACTTTTTTGCATTTTGAAAGAAGAATCTTGCTTTGCATCAAAGTACTTTATATGAATTCCAACGGGTTGACAACATTTTCAGACTCTCTTCGGCAGGCAGTAACGTATTAGGTGACACCGCACTCGTCGAAAATTTAGAAACGACCAAGAGAACGGCAGCCGAAATCGAACGAAAAGTCAGCGAAGCGCGTGGCACGTCTCGAGAAATCGACGCTGCTCGCGAATTGTATAGACCAGCCGCAGCTCGAGCATCCTTACTCTACTTCATTCTCAACGACTTGAACACGATAAATCCAATTTATCAATTCTCTTTGAAAGCTTTCAGCGTAGTTTTTCAACGAGCAGTGCTGAAAGCTGATCCGGCTGCCGATGTAACAGGCCGAGTGACAAATCTCATCGAATGCATCACCTACTCGGTTTTCATGTACACGACTCGCGGCCTCTTCGAGTGCGACAAGCTCATTTTCACTTCGCAGATGGCCTTTCAGGTGCTTCTCGCTCGCGAGGAAATCAGCGCTCAAGAACTTGATTTTTTATTACGCTTTCCGATCACGCCGCATGTCACTTCGCCTGTTGATTTTTTGACTAACAGCAGTTGGGGCGGCATTCGTAGTCTGTCTTCGCGAGACGAATTTCGGTAAGCTGTAATGATATCGTTGTAGTAAAATTTTGTTTTTCAATTTTTCAGCATTATTAGCTCAAATGTAAACCATATTTTCTACCTGAATTGAATAAAATACGGTGATATTCCGCAGAAATTTAGATCGAGATATCGAGACGTCGCCAAAGCGATGGAAAAAGCTCGTCGAGTGCGAGTGCCCTGAGAGGGAAAAATTTCCGCAAGAATGGAAAAATAAGACGGCATTGCAGAGATTATGCATGCTAAGAGCTTTGCGACCAGACAGAATGACATACGCAATTGTCGCTTTTATCGAGGAAAAATTAGGAGCTAGATTCGTGGAGAGCAGAACCGTCGAATTCGCGAAATCTTACGAAGAGACGAGCCCCTCGACTCCGATTTTCTTTATTTTGTCACCTGGCGTTAATCCACTCAAAGTAAATCGATCAAAATAAATCTAATAATCTTTTACGTAACTATTATTATTTTATTTTAGGACGTGGAAGATTTAGGCAGAAAATTGGGTTTCACATCTGATGCGCAAAATTTTCACAACGTTTCACTCGGACAAGGCCAAGAAGGCGTAGCTGAACTCGCAATGGACAATGCGTCAAAAAAAGGCCACTGGGTTATACTTCAGAATATTCACTTGGTGAAAAAATGGCTTCCGCTGCTGGAAAAAAAATTGGAAGTAGCATCCGAGGGCTCGCACTCGGATTACCGAGTATTCATGAGCGCTGAACCGGCCAGTACACCGGCTGGTCACATTATACCACAGGTTTTTTCATATTGATTTTTAACTGAGCTAAGTGAATAAAAAAAACCTGCGATTACGAGAGACGAGAGATAATATATCGTTATTCGCAGGGCATTCTGGAGTCGTCGATTAAAATAACGAACGAGCCGCCAACAGGAATGCAAGCGAATTTACACAAAGCCTTGGACAACTTTACGCAAGAGACTTTGGAAATGTGCAGCAAGGAAGCGGAATTCAAGGTGATATTATTCTCCCTATGCTACTTCCACGCAGTGGTTGCCGAGCGCCGGAAGTTCGGGCCACAGGGCTGGAACAAGATTTACCCTTTCAACGTCGGCGATCTTAACATCAGCGTGAGCGTCTTATATAATTACCTCGAGGCAAGTCCCAAGATTCCTTGGGAAGATTTGAGGTATCTTTTTGGCGAGATTATGTATGGTGGGCATATTACCGATGATTGGGATAGACGGTTGTGCGTCTCTTATTTGGAGGAATTGATGCAACCTGATTTGGTCGACGGTGAACTTCATCTTGCTCCGGGTAATTAAATTAGCAAAAGAAAACAGGGTTACTCGCTTCGAGAAAAACATAGCGCTCATGAAATATTGATTTCGAAGGATTCCCGGCGCCTCCAAATACCGACTTGGTGGGTTTTCATACTTACATCGATGAAGTGTTACCACCCGAATCCCCGTACTTATACGGGCTACATCCTAACGCTGAAATCGGATTTCTGACGACAACTTCGGAAAATTTATTCAGGACCGTTTTCGAGATGCAACCGCGCGATGCCGGTAGTTCCGGTGGCCAGACAGTGACGAGAGAAGATAAAGTATTATCTTTATTTCACGATCAATCGTCTGATAATTCCAGTAATATTCTAGTATTTTTTTTTATTTGTTTGATTACAGGTAAAACAAATACTCGACGAGATACTGGAAAAGCTTCCAGAGGAGTTTAACATGTCGGATATAATGGGCAAAGTAGAGGAGCGAACGCCGTATGTAATTGTCGCGTTCCAAGAATGCGAGCGTATGAATTATCTAACGAACGAGATCAAACGCTCGCTACGTGAATTGGATCTCGGGTTAAAGGGCGAACTAACAATTACCTCGGATATGGAAGACTTGGAAACGGCACTGTTCCTTGACCAAGTGCCACACACTTGGACGCAAAGAGCGTATCCTTCTTTACTTGGATTGACTGCTTGGTTCGTCGACTTGCTGCTAAGGATACGCGAATTGGAAACATGGTCTACTGATTTTGTGGTAAATGGCTAGGAAATGCACTATATTTCGCTTACATTTAACTTTAGTTACCAATAGATCAAATTCAAAGTACAATTAATTGGAATGTTTTCAAATACCATGACATACTTAATTTAACGATCTTTAATATTGTTACAGTTGCCTGCCTCGGTATGGCTGGCGGGTTTTTTCAATCCGCAATCTTTATTAACAGCAATAATGCAATCGACAGCACGACGACACGAACTTCCGCTAGACAAAATGTGCTTGCAATGCGACGTGACCAAAAAAAATAAAGAGGAATTCACGTAAATCCCATTCTTTAAAATAACAGATTAAAGCATCGATCGTTAATCTTACTCGTTCAATTTGCAGCTCGGCACCAAGGGACGGCGCATACGTGCACGGCATATTCATGGAGGGCGCACGTTGGGACGTGCAAGCTGGTATAATTATCGACTCGCGACCAAAAGAACTATTTCCATCGATGCCTGTAATCAATATTCGTGCTATTCCTCAGGATAAACAAGATTTGCGAAATATGTACGAATGTCCCGTTTACAAAACGCGGACTCGTGGACCTACTTACGTGTGGACTTTTAATCTTAAAACCAGAGAGAAAGCAGCCAAATGGACTCTTGCTGGTGTTGCTTTATTACTGCAAACGTGACTTTTTATTACGGATTACTCGGAGATTTATTGCCATTCTTTTGTTACTGATTGCATTTTTGATGAGGAATAAAGAGACTTTTTTAATCTATTACAAATATTTTTTTTTCAACCTATGTTTTATTTTCCTTACTAACTTTTTTTAAGCACTGTCCTTATTGGAAAAATAATAAATCATAAATGAATGAATCAGTGGAATCTCTGGAATCAATGATTAAAAGGGAACTAAAAGCCGCAATGCGGATATCGGAGAGGAAAAAAGGCACAGCAAGCGCGCAGTCGAACGGCCAGGCGGGCGCGCGTATAAATAATCGATAGAACGCAAGCAAGCCAAACTGTCTTCCATGGCTAACATACCCGGTGGCAGCAGCAGTACAGTATGGCGTGTGGGCTTGGCATTACGTCGATTCGCGTGTAATTGGCGAGACGCGACGTTTCCGCAGAGCCGAAAAAAAAAAAGAAAAGATATGCGAGTAAGCCCGCTCGCACGCAATTTATCAAATTATTACCTACCACCAAAAACGAAGAAGAAAAAAACCAATTTTTTGCTTACGAAGGGTCTCCCTTTTGTTTAGTGGCTTAGTCACATCCGGCCAACTGAATTAATCGCCGAAACAAAAAGAAAGAAGAGCAATTGTTCGTCTGCTTATCGCAGGACAAGTAAAAGCTCGCGCGCTTGCAATGACCAAGAGACATTGGGATTGAGAGGAGGAAGAAATAGATAAAAGAAGTAGCCAAGTGGTTTCTGATTAGAGCGAACGTAGCCCTGTCAGCGCGGTGTGGCTCTGCGATCGATTCAGCGCAAAGGCTCAATCACGGTTTTCATTAACCCGAGTGCGGACGCGCACCACACCATGCTCCAAATGGATCGGATGAAACGCGCCATTCGGCCGTGAACGAAAGAAAAGCTGCCTCTGTTCGGCGCGGATGACAGACCGCACCGAGCTTTTATTGTGCCTCGAATTCTCTTTTTTTCTTTTCTCTTGCATAAATTGACTGCGTCAGCTTTCATCCACTTCATTTATTTTCATGAATATAATAATTGCATATGTGCAGTATAATTTACCAGTATGATTGGAATAAATAATTGGTTACTTCTTCATTTCACCTTGTGAATTGACTATGACGTTGTTTTAATGAAAAGTAAAGAAAACAGGAAGACCCTACATTTGAAAATTGCTAATTAAAAAATGCGTAAGATTATAATCGAGTACATGTGATCATCTCACATAATTGTACATGAAAGAGAATGAAGTAAGCACCGCGTAACAACAGAACTGTTGCAGCGTACACTGAATTTTTTTTAAATTCGAACGAAAGCTATCTACGATAATTATTCTATCTCGAAGAAAAAGTATCTTGAGTTTTAATTACAATGTATGACGACGATGAAGAATACGGAGCAATCGGTTCTCTTGATTTTGCATATCGAGTCAGAATCGAAATTCGGAAAAAGTTGCGCGCGCTGTCAAGTCGCTTGTCGAGAGAACGAGCGCATCAACCGATGAATATGAACGCCCGATTTTTCATCGCGTCGACACATCTCGTTAAAATAATCTCCTCGAGGCACTCGCCACTTCTTTTTTTTTTATGCCATCTTTCGCCAGGGCACGGCTGTGGAACAAAGAACGAGGCAGAGGCGATTCAATTAGATGGGGCCTAAGTGAGCGAGACGGATGAATATGCACATCGTTAAAAAAGAAAGAGAAGACGAAGAAGAGAGCTTAATGGAAGTCTGATAGGTCGTCCTTTGTCTCCTCGCTCGTAGCTTCGTAGCTGCTGCTCCCGCTCCCTTCATTTTTCATTGAGCACTCGGTTAATCATTTTTAAAGGGCAGGTGCTCTGCGTGCGGAGTCGTAAACGCGGCGAGGCGTAGAGGGCAACTTTTCGGCGATGGCACTGCAATTAGATGGCGAATTAATTGTCAAGCACTTGATTCGTGATGGTTTCGTTGGAATTTCATCATTTCACTTTTTATTGTTCTTACCAGAACAATAAAGCATCGTTATACGCCCTTGTATGCCGGCCCAATTTGTTTTATATACATGTATAGACGAGCGAGACACTTTTTTCAAAGGTGGCTGCGCATATTTCTTTCTCGCCCGGACTGTCAAAGAAGAGACCGAGGGTGAACACTCTAGAGAGAACTTGCCAGCTAAGTAATTGTGAATTAGAACATAAGGGATAATTCCGGGCGTTTTGTTGGCTGCTTTAAAGATGCATAGGGCTCTTTTGAAAAATGTAGGGCTGTGTGTGAATCACTCGCTGATTATTGTTCCATCGGAATTAAACGGCATCTCTTTCGAAATCCCAAGTTCCCCACATTTAACCAAGAAAGTAGTAGAACCTATCGCGTTCTGATTATTATTCTTTTTGTTTTCTTTTTTTTTCTTTTTTTTTATAAGAAGAAACAGTTTGTATGTCCACGACTACCTTGTCAATCTAACTCTCATGAGCTGAAAGAACTTGCCTACAAGCAATTAAAAGGTTAAATTGAAGTCTTTGTCCCTGCGACATTCGAAAGCCCCACGCGAAATCTAAAAGCATCCTCGCGGCTTTCGGAGGGATCTGAGCGTCGAAAATATTTAGCGCGCGTGGCACGTGTCGTTCGTATAGCAACAGCACAGCAGCAGCAGCAACAGCAGCAGGGCCAAGCAAAAGTAAAAAGCGTAAAAAAGAAAGAAGAAAAGAAAAAAAAGGAAGCTCCAAGAAGGCGAACGGCACGTGGCGAATTTCGGAAGAGAGGGACACGTACGTGCGTGCGGTGTGTGTATGTATTTGTGCCTTCGACTTTAATGATGCCTTAGCGCGCCATTAATCACGTAATTTTTCGGGGAAACTTGGGCCGGCCAGGTGCACCCTCTCAAGGCGCTGTATAGGGTGTCAGCATTTGAATTTGAAATTTTCGGACGCGAAGAGAAGGAAGAAAAAAACGAGGCAGCCGCCTCTTTTTATTTTTCTTCAATATTCATGAGCTGCAATAAAGCGATCGGCAATGAGCGTAACGCTGCGGAGAGATCGGTATCGGCATTTTAATATCGGCTGTGCAATATTCTATATGAAAGTGCAACAATTCGAAGCGTGCACGTGTCGTTCCCGTGCAAAGTGGAGCAGCCCTCTGCCTTATATAAAACTTCCTGAAGAAGCGAAAAAATACATGAAATATTTATATCCCGCGCGCGACACTTTCTTGCATCCTCGAAAAGTAGTTCGCGGGTCTTGCAAACGATTGTGCATTGCAAACGAGGTTCACGGGATTTCCGCACTAACGGCTGTTTGATTTTGTTAATTTTTCTTTTTTTTTTTTCTTTCTCGCAGCAAATCCGGCAACGCGAGTTTCACAAAGGGCGCAAATTAGTTAGCCGTGCTCACCGCGGCTGCCACTGTTGCTATACTTTAGAAACATGCGTAATAGCCAGTCGGGCGTGCAAAGCAGATTGCGCGCTATCCCGAAGATTTCATCGACGATCGGGACTGACGCGGCGTGCGCACTTCCGAAAGGATCAAGATTAAACGAGATATAGCTGCTTCTCGTCTCGAATCCGCTCGAATTCGCGCGAGTACGATAAGATCATCTTGTAATGAGCGAAGCTCACTCATCCGGCCACTTACATGATGCGGCCAGCTGCCGTGCTTGCATTGATAGCCCTAATCATTTGATATCAGCTTTGGCTTATATTTTCTTACCTTACGTTATCCGGAGATATTAACTGCTTTTAGTGATTCATCCTGTTATCTTTATGTTCTGTGTAAATATTACGATGGCTTTAATGCGATTAACAACAATCTCTTCCAACTGTCTTATATATAACTCAATGTTGCGACTGATTTTGCTTTTTAAAATATAAAAATGATAACTTTATTATTAGGATATTATTTATTATTAGGATTAAGATACGGAATCTGAAAGAGCCATCTGGAGTTTCGGCACCGACAATTGCATGCTTCATCCTCGCGCTTAAAAAAAAAGCACGAGTCAAACCCCATGGGTCTGCCGCAGTTGTAGCGCCCACAGAAAACAGTGAAGCGCTTAACATTCTGCGGCATTAAGCACGTCAAGCAATTGGCTTAATTGGCACGACAACGTAATTGCACGCGGGTCGGCTATGCGTTTCGAGTCACGTATACGCGCGGGCGCGCGCGAATATTTTTGAGCTGCGCCTAATTATTTGCCTATCAACTTGCTGTTTACTCGGGCGTCGCGCCATCGCCGCCGCATTTATACACAATGCAGCATTGTGCGCGAAATCGATTCCGCGCTCTGTCAATGTCCGGCAGACTTTTCGGTAAAAAGTTTAAAGCAAAGTTTAAACGATATTATCTCGCGCGTTATACGTACGTATACGCATACATGCGTGTGTATTAATCTCCACTGTGTATATTTATCCGACTCGTCGCGACGCGTGACAACACGTAGATATTTTACATAAAAATATTTTTCCTAAGAATAAAAACAAATTTCTATGGAATATTATTCATCCTTTTTTTTCTTTTATGATACTAATCGAAAAAAAAATTTAATCAAATATCAATATTGACCCGAGAGATTCTTAAGCTTACATCTCGCAAGGGTCGTCGTCGTCGTTATCGGACTACAATTTGGTCGCGCAATGGAACGTGGTTAGAGTTTCAGCGATATATCCCCACTGACAGTGTCAACATTGAGACCAGACCCTATAGCAGTCTCAACCCTTAACTATACATATAGACCGGCTTGATCAATCTCGGAAATGTCGTATAATATGCTTTATCGCGGCAGTCGCGCGTAATTCCGAGTGGATAATCCGGTAATCTTTAGGGAAGGCCCATCGTATACCAAGGAACACTTACAAAGACATACATATACGAGAGAGTAACATAATCGTAAAGTTAAACGAGTTAATGTACAATCAAAGTTTTTTTATATACAAGCCGGAGGAACGGGAGTGAGGCATTCCGGTAGAACCCTTTAAGCTCGAAGGTTTTATCGACAGCTTACATCCAGGATGACTACATATATAT